GTGTCTTGGTTGTCATTGAGAAACAAGTTTTCAGGATGCACAGTATCCTCGTCGCCGTCGAGATGTTCCTTCTCTGAAGTCTTATCGTCATCATGGATGGCTTCAGGGGCTTTGGTGTCTTGGTCGAGTATAGGATCTTCATGTGATTGCTGGCGTTCCGGATTTGGAGCGTCGAGAATGAACTGGTCGCCATTTCTTGAGGAATCCTGCACGAGGAGTTCAGTCTCTGAATGGTTCATAGGTGGGGCTTCCTGATCACTTGAGGAATCCTGCACGGGCATTTATTTGGTTCTCACCTCCTCATTGGCCGCTATCTGCTCCCCTCCGTGTTGTCCTTGGCTCTGGCCTCCATTTTTCTCCTCCGTTGCATCAGCATTCGGCACCGTGGAAAAGCTCTCGACTTTGTTTGCGTCATCTCCTTGGTCAGAGTCTGCATTGTCCCTGGTTGTGCCGTCTGCAAAGGATGGTGCTTCCAGGTCAGTGTCAAAGTCCTTACCTCGTTCGTGGCTTTGTGGGGCGACCTCCGCATGGGGATCTTCAAGGACCTCCGTACGGTCAGCAGTTGGGCCGTTTGACTTTGGAGGTTCATTCGTTTCTTGTGTGACTGGAGGTTGTGTCATTGGTGGTCCGTCTTCCTCCTGTTCGTTGGACTGGGATGCTTGGGAGCCGGCATCCGTTCTCTTTGAGCTTTCCTCAATGTGATGGTCCGACTCCACTGGGTTTTGGTGGTCCTCGACCAGGGAGTCCGGGTGATTTTGATCCGGGGCGTTTTGAAGCTGGTCTCCTTCCACAATCTGGTGGCTCAGTGGAGCAGGATTTTCATGCTCAGGTTCGTTATGAATGCATTTGCCTTCTGGCGACTGTTGGGAAGAATCGTCGGTTGTAGCTTCTTGTTTTGGAGTATCATCGGCTAATGAGATGGCGTTGTCTTGGTTCTCACTGAGAAGCAAGTTTTCAGGATGCACTGGAGCCTCATCGCCATCTAGAGCTTCCTTCTTTGCAGTCTCATCATCACCAACGTCTTTTATGGTTTTGAGAACCTTGGTGTCATGGTCTAGTGTAGGATCTTCATTTGAGCGCTGGTGTTCTGGCGTTGGAGCCTCCGGAATGATCTGGTTGCCATTCCTTGAGGAATCGTGCACAAGGAGTTCAGTCTCTGAATGGATCGTAGGTGGGGCTTCATGATCATCTGTGCTCTCCTGTTCTATGGCGTCTTCTGAAGAGGCTTCGTGGTCTCTCTGTTCTTCAGCGTCTTCCTTGTGTGGGGCATTGGAGACAGAAGCATGCTCTTCTGGTGGTGGCGGAGGTTCAGAGGCTGGCACATCACAAAGAACAGTTCCGTTAATAGCTGGATCAGCCTCGGACGAGCCTGCGTGTGCAGCTGTTTCGTCCTCCGATTGCCTCAGGTGTGTTATCTCTGAAGATTTCCCTTGGGGGATCGAGTGGATCGGTTCCATCGCTGCTTCTGACGAGCTCTGAAGGATTAAATACCATGATCAATTAATCGTTAATCTCTTTGTGGTTCTTCCAAGGTTTTTTCCGCTATAAGGAAACATATCAGCAAAATAAATACAGATAAAGGAACCCAAGTCAATGATTTACGTTCTAGAAAAAACCGAATTAGTCAGCTGAAGCAGCTTTCTACCATATTGAATCAGAGGCCACATATCATGATTCCCACTCGAGGAACCTTGGCCTGCTCTATCAGTGTTTCTTCAAGTCCAGCTCATGCTATTTAGTTCATGATCGATGAGTTGCTTTGGCTGATGCAGAAGCGCGCAGGCCATCATAGCAGCTGATGCAGAACAGAACGGATGAAGATGGGGGAAGAGGCTTCCTTACCTCTTTCATCCCGGCCTCTAGGTCCTCTTCGACCCTTGCTGCGGCCATTGGAGTGGAGCTCTGTTCTCTCTCTGAGCGATAATCTCCCTCGGTACGTAAATGGAGGCCCCGAAACCTGGTAGAACTTAACGTCGCCTCTCTCTCATCTTCTCTCTCCGCCTAGATTTCCCTTCCAAACTGGGTCCATGGGGGCAGAGCCGGTGGCTTTATGGTGGCACCGTTTCCTCCACTTCCAAGCGTCCCAATCATCCTTCGAGAGGGGGGGGCGGGTGACGAAGCGATTATTAGACAAGCTGACAGAAGCGCCACTTGTTCTCTCCCTTGTTCCCCCGTGGTTGGTCAGATGCCTGCGCTCTCATGCGCTGGCCACGGTGGCATTTTCGTATCTTCAACCCGCAATCATATGCTTCCCTCCTCATCGCTGAAGAGTGGCCGCTGTACACTGCGTACCCACCTTCAGAAAACCAGGCATGTTTCTCTCTGTCATCGTGGGCCATTAAGCTTGATCAGTCACGGAGAATGGCTGGTTCTTAGGCACATCAATCTCCCTCCAGCTCCCCATTATTGAGTATTTCCGTTGCCTCTCTCTCTCTCTCTCTGATATGAAATGGTTTTTATCGGAGAATGAGAAACCTGGCTTTTAATAGTTGATAAACTATGGCCTTCTTTCGTAGGATAGAAGATTGCCCGGGGCGGTTGACTTCCTGCTCATCTTCTTTCGCGTCTCATATGGCTTCGTCATTGTTCTTAGTCGTAATACATACCCACTAACACATACATACAATATAGAAGTACCCATGTAGAGAGAGAGCGAGAGAGAGGACCGCCCTGAGCTAAATGGCGCCGACCATGTCGATTCACCATTGTCATCATGTGGCAGCCGTCTTACGTGGAGGAATGCGACCAGGGAGCCGAGTTGGCAGAGAGTTGGACGCTTAAACAGGATCCTAATGGAGACTGAAGGGTTGGAAGCCAGCGCCAAAGGCTAAGAACGGGGGGTCGTAATCCTGGCCGCCCATTTGGGTGGGGGCGGCGGCGGCGGCGGCGGCGGCGCCGAAAGCTCGTGTCGGAAAGCGAGGTCCCTCGGCTTATCGGCTGTCGATCAATTTCCAAAACTGAAGGGTGTTGTGTGAAAATAATCGGTTGGGTCTACAACGTGCGTTGTGGTCTGTCATTCCTGCCGCACGTGCCGCCAGGAGGTTGTTGCATTCTCCAGAATCTCTTTTATCCGTGCTCACCTCACCACGTGATCTTCTTTCTCCGCGTGTCAACCCCACTAGTAACTGAGGGCAAATATGCAATTTTATTGAAATGTTACCCATTAGGAGTCTTACCCTCGAGGACCAAATATATTAGCCGTCTCCTCGAAATGAGAAGGAGATATCGTGCTAAGCTTAGGAGACCAAGGTCTTAACTTATAGTTCACATTTTTTCGGTCACAATCGGAAATATGGATAATTTGGAGGTTTTCTGTGATAAAAGAGTGGGCCCGAGTGAATGTGACAGAATCTAGTGGGGGAGCCGCCAGGGGAGGTGGACCTGCTAGCACAGTTAGGGTGAGCGGGCCGCCACATGCTGTAAAGGTAACATCTCTCCTTAGACCGGTCAAGACTTTTTTTCATCGTGGCATCATCCCCGTCCTATTCATCGATCTTTGTCGGTCTATGCGAGAATACTAACCCTCGTGGATCATTCTATTTTTGCCTTCCCATCTTCCCGCGTTTCGCCGGTCGTATGTCTAAGCGGCGATCCAGAACCCGTTTTTCATGGACGAATATTCTCTCTCTCTCTCTCTCTCTCTCTCTCTCTCTCTCTCTCTCTCTCTCTCTCTCTATCTATCTATCTATCTATCTATCTATCTATCTATCTCTCTACTCTCTATCTCTCTATCTCTCTATCTCTCTATCTCTCTCTCTATCTCTCTCTCTCTCTCTCGCTCTCTGTTTATCTCTCTCTCTGTAAACAGACGGATTGGTTTTCGAATCTACACTCTTTGTCCCTCCTGACAGGAAACGTACATGTTGGGCCCAACACGTTGCCGCCAGGCAAGAACAACTCATCAGAGCTTACGATGTGGAGATCGACCTGTCAAGACAGCACCCAACGAAACCGCCTCTCTCTCTCTCTCTCTCGCTATCTCTCTCTGTAAAACTGAGTCCCTCTCGTAGGATTGGTGCCCATTAGTGGGTTTGATGAATAAAGGCCCGTTAAATCAGGCCCATCAGAGGAACCTTCACAGTCTGGTAGCCCATCTCAGGCAGGATTTTTACTGGTCCCAAGTTGGACGAACATCATTGGACTACTACTGGTACGGCCCAATTCATGTCAAGATGGCTCCTCGATCCACATACCAACAAAACCCTTAAAAAATCCATGTTATTACCATATTTGGAAATCTTCGCACAACCCACAAGAGGGAAATCGGTATTGCTCGAGTCCCAGAGAATCTTCAAATATATTAATGAATTCACCAAGCCTATATTAAAAATCCAGAAATAAAATAAAAGCGCATGTTATTGACTTTGTAATTTTTGAATTATGTGTATATTTTTCTCGGAAATCAAGGCACAATTAGTCATCAAAGTTGCTTTCAAGGGTAGTAAGTTGGCACGGGGCTGATGCTTGCGTGGAGCTTGTTGTCTTGGAACAATATTATTGTTAAAACTATATAGAAATGAAGACAATACAAAATTTCCTATGATCTCATCAAAAGGGTACATGCCGCTCCCCATTATGCTTCGAGGGTAGTTCCGTCAAATACCATAGGAAATTGATTTTTGATTTTTAGAAAATAATTTGTGTGGGAAGTGTCGGTAAAGCTCGGGCTTTTTTGGGTCGAGTGATTCGTTGGACAAAGCGGTTATCGGATCGTAAGGGGTATGTTTATTGAGTGGTGATGGGAACCGACGTGGGATCCGAAAGGTCGGGGGTTCGTGGCTGTCGGTGGGAGGACTTTCGTCTCTGACTGCCATCGCCTCGTTGACCAGTCCGCTTTTAACAGTGTCCCCCCGTCTTCCTTCGAACGTCTCACCCACCTTCCTCCGGCCAGTCCAGTTCCTTGCTAATCTTCTGGAGAGAGAGAGACGGCTGATTTCTTCTCTCTCTTCCCCCTTCTCCGTTCAGTTCTCCCCATCTCTCTCCTCCACAGGAGAATTGCCATGTTGTTGCATCCGGAGATGGCGCTCCCACTGAGGCCGATACGCACAAAGCCTCTGGATGGTGGCACCACCGGCGACGAGGGCTTGCCGGCAACGACGCCGACAGCGGAGGACGCGAGGATTCCGGAGAAGCTGCCGTGCCCGCCGGCGCCGAAGAAGAGGAAACCCCCACAGAGGTGCCAAATGGGGGATACCGAGTTCTTCAGGCCGCCGGAGCTGGAGACGGTGTTCGTACGCCGGCGAGAGACTGCCGAGTGAGGAGCTCTTTGGTCCTCTAGCACCCCTCAACATGTACAAACAGTGGAAACAGGGTCTTCTAGGAATGTTAGAGAACAAATCCTCCATAATTCTAGTCCCAAACTGGTTTCCCTCACCCTTGAACGAGACTCTGCCAGGATTTGGGTAGAATTCCCTCTTTCCCGTTGATAGATCTACCTCTCTCTCTCTTTCTCTCTCTCTAGTTTGTGTAGAAGGCTTGCCTTCGAAGGTTTCTTCCAATAATTCTGGGAGCTTGCATTTTTGAGACGCGTATTCACGGACGATAATTTCACCACGTGCGGGCGTCTGTGCACCAAGATCAGAAAGTCCACAGAGAGACGAAGAATTCCTACGAAACCCTTCGCGAAGAGATTAAAATGACCGATTTTAGAAAAAAGAGAGGTCAACTTTTTCGACGAATTAATGAAGACCCAACTTACAAAGCGGACAATCGAGCTTCATAGGCTTCCAGAGGATCGAAGGTTGTAAGACCATTTTATTTTCTTGTCCCTTCCAAGGCGGTGTGAAACCAGAAGCATTGAAGACTACTACCCGTTTGATGTCTTCCTTGAATGTGAGGGACAACAGCACATGAGTTTAGATCGAACCCTTTAAGGCGCCTGGATCAGGCAACCGCAACCACGGAGAGAGAGAGAGCGAGAGAGAGAGAGAGAGAGAGAGAGAGTCAACATATTTCATGACAACAACGCTGATATGTCGACTAAAACCCACTTGAACAGAAGATCAGAGATAAGGCCCAACCAGAGTAGCTGGCGAAACTTCCCTTTGCGCTTGGAATTTCATGACACGCTGGCCCTCACTTTGTCTCAAGAACATAGGAAAGGGGGGGTTAGTGAGGGTAAAGGGCATAGGGCGGTAATAATCTCTCTGCATCGGGCCAACGAAGGGAGTCTCCCCTTCCCGAGGAATGGGTGGTCCTAATTCCTGACTGCAGCTGTCGTAGTTCTTCCTGGCCTATTGCAGTCCCAGTCCATCTCTTGACCGCCATTCCAAATCTAGTTCGGTGGCAGCTCTTCTCCACCGTCACCCTCGGCCACTAACTGCTCACCAAATCTCTGCAGGGTTGTGAATTTTATAATACTGTGCCACAGGAAGAGAGAGAAAGAAGAGAAGCATAGAGAGAGAGAGAGAGGGAGGGGGAGGGGAGGACGTACGTTACAAGGAATCCAATGAAGTTGGAAGCCATGGGGCCCATTGAAAAGGGATCCCGCTGGGGGGGACGGGGGGTAAGCACAGTTTCGCTTGTTGAGCTTCGTTCCTCGTATGCCTGCGCCGCCACCGGAGGTCTCCTTCCACTGCAGTCAGCGAGTCATCCTCCTCCGCGATTTTTTGAGTCGGACGACGATTTTACCCAGTCCCCGCGTTGGAAAGTAGCGCATAGTTTTCCAAGTAAATAGCGTTGACCTCTCGGGAAAATATAATGACGTGGATTTTATTTTTTGTCGGAGGGCTCTGTAGTGGCCCGTTGAAGAGAGGTCCAGTATAGGAGAGACATTTCAGGGCATCGAGAACTTGGCGCTTGTCGGGATGGACCCCCTGAAAGGCCGTTGACCCGGTTCATGGGCTTGACATTTGATGTCGACGTTAGTGTTCGGGAGTTGAGAACGAGAAACAAATGTCAACAAGACACTGAAAACGACGGCCAATCCCAAGAATGTCAGCGCTACTATTCTTCCTCTACTTCTCTCTCCAACCCATTAGAGGAGTCGAGACGTTGACCGGCGTCACCGTGGACTCCGACGTATCTGAGGATATCATCATAATCGTGTTTTTAGTATGTATAAGACGAGCCTGGGAAGATCCAAGCTGGTATGTGACGTTGGAAGTCAAAGACCAAAAAGTTCGGCCTACGTTTCCAAATGTAGTAGGCCAGCCCATAATTCCAAAACCAATTCTTGCCACCTGGCTTACCCACGATCTCTCGTCTCTCTCTCTCTCTCTCTGTGATGGCGGGGAAAGGGTTCCGAGGGGTCTGACCCCAAGCCCGATTTCCGGGCTTTTCGAGGTCCATCTGGCCCATTAAGCATAAAACCTACTCAGCCTTCCGGTTGTTTCATAGTAAAAGCATCACAAGAAAAAATGCAGTTTAACGGCACAGAGAAGGGAGGAAGAACGAACGAATGTCACTTCACACAGATGACAAGGGGCGGCCCAGATTCTTCCAAATCATCAGTCGACCTTCAAAGGGGGGCAAAGGCCGTCCGCAGCCGCCTTGGGGTTCCTCCGACTCTTCATCTTGAGTCTCATCAGCTTCAGGATCTTGAAGAACCAGAACGCGCTGACCAGCTGCAGCCCCAGCGCCATGGCCTGGTCAAAAGTCAACCATCACGTCATTATGCAGCGAAGGATTGGTGAAAAAAGTCAAAAGGCCAACGTATGTGATTCCCCCTTCACCTTGATGAGAAATGGGTAGTCGGCCGTGAGGGTGACGGTGGTCATATAGGGCCCAAAGCCCATTCTAGCCAATGAGAAGGTGATGCTAAACAGGAACTTCATCATAATCAAAAAAGCCCTCGTTAGACAGAGATTTTGGCATGGTAAGACGACATGAGACTGATGACGGTCACAAACTCACATCCGCTAAAAGATTGAGGTCGGTGTCCTTGTAACCCAGCTCCTTGAGGAACTGCCTCAGGTGAAGGAAAGGGGTCGAGACCTCCGTAATCCACATCGTTGTCACCATCTCCGTCCCGCACTGCAGTAATCCAAGCTCAAACAGATCCAAATCTAGTAAGATAGATAGACAGATAGATAGATAGAGAAAGAAAAAGAGAGAGACGGAGATTTATAGATAGATAGAGAAAGAGAAAGAGAGAGAGACAGAGATTGATAGATAGATAGATAGATAGACAGAGAAAGAGAAAGAGAGAGAGACAGAGATTTATAGATAGATAGATAGATAGAGAAAGAGAGACCGAGAGATAGATAGATAGAGGGAGAGAGAGAGAGAGAGGGGGGGAGGATACCATTTGATAGGCGAGGCCGGCGATGATTCCGACGATGCCGACGGCGTGGTGGACTAGATCGGAGATGTTGATGCGCTTGTCTAAGAGGATGCAGAAGAAGTCGTAGATGAGGTAGGAAAGGGTGACTGATAAGGACTTCATCTGCGAGATTTAGAGAGAGAAAGGGAGCTGGTTAGAGGAGGGAGGGCGGATGGATAATGGAGGCGCTGAGGGAGGACCTACCTGCCAGTGGGAGGAGGGAGAGCCGAGGGGGCTGATGGGGCGTGTCCAGTCCTGAATGGAGAGGGTGGCGAGGACGACGGCCACGCAGGCGTGCGCAGTGGAGATGATGCGGCTACAAAAGTCGAAGGACCGGTTGGGGAGCGCCTTCCGCACCGCCATGAAAGCCGCCGACCATGAGATGACCCCGCACATGACCCACCGCACGATGTACTCCTCCATCTCCCCCTCCAGCTGAAGCTCCCGGCTTCTCTCTATCTGGGTTTTCTCTCCGTCCTTCCCCGGGTTCTGATTCCTCAGAGAGAGAGAGAGAGAGAGAGAGAGATGCTGGTGGGAAACCAGTGAGCGGCTGGGCGGTGGGGGAGACCGCTGGCCAACCCTTGGCAGGCCTCGGAGGTCTCTCGATTGACTCAATCTCTCCCTCGGCCTCCTGTAACTATGGCTTCACTCCCAGGAGCCAAAGAGTGGGTGAAAAGGAGGAAGCTATCAATCCTCCCCTTGGCCCGGCTGACGCTCCCCGCTTTGTGCAATCTGTGTGGGTCTTCCGAGCTCCCCGGAGATCACAACCTGCGAGAGAGAGAGAGAGAGAAAGAGAGAGGATCACAGGCGGGCGTGCAACCCGCGAGCAGGCGAGCGGCCCTCCTACCTCCTCTCTATTCCAACGACCCCAAAATATGAAAAAAGCTGGAACCTTTCACTCTCTACTGTCGGCAATCAGACGCTCACAATCGGCTCACTGATGACGACTTCAATGCCGTTGGAAATTCGGAGTCGGTCGAAGGGGTCGGATCGTGACTCGGTTCAACCCTCCCTCCCACTGCCAACCGCCAATCGACACCGTACGCCTAACTCAGCACGGCCGCTCTCTTGCTTTATTTCTTGAGATGCATATCAGAATTTAATAATTTTAGGCTCACCATCCCATAATATTCAGGACAAAAAAATATTTGGAATTTCAGAGCTTAAACGGTTTTATTGAAATTAAAAAGAAGCCATATTTAATTTAAGGCTACGGCTTGAAGGGGCATTAAGTGATGGCACATCGTTCCATCTACCGTCCATAAATCTCGAGCCGAGCTAGCAAATGAATCAACGGTGCATTGAACCCTAGTGGGCCTGGGGTTGCGTGCGACCCTGCCGGACCCCTGAAGCGAGAGACTTTCCGTCTCTGGGAGGTAAATGGGCCTACGACTGTAACGGGGCCCACCTCTCTGGGAGGTGGTATTTATTACCGTCATAGAGGACCTTGGACTTGTCAAATTCGCATTAAATTTTGGATGAAATTTTGGGCTGATTAAACCCTTTTGGAAGAGAAGCGTCTTGAAAATGGTCATCAGCATATTTTTCAGTCAAAAAAATTTCATAAACATGAGAATATTCCACAATCCTAAAAGATGCTGATATATATATATATATATCGATTCTATCCGGGTTTGAATGAAAATTTTTGCTTTATGTGGCATTTTTGGAAGAAAGTGTTGAAAGGTCAACGGCACGTTTTTCAAGCAAAGAAAAGGAGCTTTTTTTTGGGTAATTTGTTTCTATCCCAGCTGAGATACTCTACGAGCTCAGTTCCAGGGAAATGCTGGGATAAGATTTATCCCAGTAAATCAGGAGAAAAAAACACGAACAAAAATTACCAGAATAGCCCTTTATTCACATGCGAACTGGTTTGACCTTTACGAGATGGGGGATGAGATACCCTCCTACTCCCACTGCAGCAGGTCCAGAGCCTGTTGGTGGAGCTGCGGGTCGCCTGCTGCAACCACTTTGAAACCTGGGAGAGGAGGTAGATTTAGGTACCCGGCTCATAAATTATTGTTCCTACCCGAAAAATAAGGTAACTATAGTTAATAATTGCTTGGGACTTTGGCAGATGATTTAGAATATTTACATTCGGGGTTGGATTCCGGTGACGCCTCCCAGTGGAGATCCTGTCCTCTCCAATCAGTTATCAAGCCGCCGGCACCTTCTATAACGGGTATAAGCGAAAGGAAGTCATAGGGCTGGAGATCAAAAGAAGGGAACCATGAAGGAAGATCACCAGCTGGGCATTGCTCAATGTGAAATAAAAGAAATGTAAGTCAACGAGGGGGGGATGGGGGGGGTTCAGAAGACAGAGCTGACCTTGAGCCCAGACTCAACCACAAGATCCACGAATCCTGTGGCTAAGAGGGCATAGGCGTAACAATCACAACCATAAAGTGGAACTTTCACCTGGGAAAAAGGGAGAAAGAAAATTAAGCAACTTGGTATTCCGATGTGTCAGCCAATTAATATAATACTGGTAATCCGCGGCAATGGTAAGATGGATCAGCTGACCTTGTCTCTAACACGGATGAAAGCTTCTTCGGCGTCGCTGCTGAAGAGATGAGGGCTGGTCGTGTACCTGCCGAGGATTCAATAGTTGGCATGGGCTTAATTTTGCAGGGAAACATGAAATATGAGTGCAGAATGGTAATCATACAGTAATTACATCGAAATGGGATGTGGAGTATTTCCGTAATTAATAATGGTCGTGTGGAATTTATTTTCAAGCATTGGAAGAAAAAAATACCCATTTCGGAGAAAAAAATGAAGGTGTTTTTGATATTTCCTGCAGACCCATGTGATAGAATCATTGCTTTTGGTAGAAAGACAGCGATGCCAAAGAAGAATGGTCGTAATGCCAGCCAAGAAGGAGAGGTATCAGCCATTAATTTCCAAAAGACAGTATCCTCGTGAAGATTTTTGTTGATTTAACAGTAGTTTAGCAAACCATATTCGATCGTATGTTCATATTGGATGATAATTATAGCTCAGTTGATGCGGGGGAAGGGTGGGGCGGATGCATACAAATAGGCTTGGGCAATGCTGCTGCAGGAACGGGCAGAAACCACCGATCCATTGAGTGTAGTTTTCCTTCCCTTCACTCCAATCCATCTCTCTCGTAAAACTGGCTGATCGATGATGCCCACAATCTGAAAATAAAGAAAATATTATTCTTTTCAGATGCACAAGTTCATCTCAACCTCTGGTGATCGATATCCATGTCATAGAAACTGAGCATAAACCCTACTGGTTCCCCCTTGTGAAGAAGGGCGATCAGAGTCCCGAACAGGGGCTTGCCTGCAGAACAATGGAATGAATTGGATTTGAAGAATCTTCGTAGTTCATGAAGAGTATGAGACGAAGGATGGACTCTGAATCGATAGATAAATACCGGTGATGAAGCTTTTCGTCCCGTCAATCGGGTCCAAAACCCAGACGTACTCGGCATAAATCTCTCTGCATCTCCAGCCATTCTCCTCTCCGTAACTGAAAGATTCAGCGTTGGGATTGAGCAGGGGTTTCTTAATTTGCAGTGGCGAATGGATGCAAAAGAGAACGAGCGGAGGAGAATGAGAAGTCGTACATTGCATGGGAAGGGAAATGCTGCAAGATGATGGAGATCATCGATTCCTCCGCTGCCCGGTCGGCAATCGTCACAGGACCTGCAAGAGTGAACGCCCATCGATCAGAGGCCAGGCCAGGGAGAAGAATCCAACAAGAACGAATAATCTCTGGGTTAACAGGGGCAATCAAAAGAAAGGTTTTTTTTTTCTGATTTTTTCCCCTTTTTTCCCTCTGTTTATCTAGTTTCCGGGGGAGTGGGGAGCACCCACTCAGGTCGTCCTTGTCGACGATCTCAAAGCTCTTGCGGAAGTACTTGCGGATGATCTCGCCGGCGGCGTCGGCCAGCTTGTTGCCGACTTCCACGAAGACGTCCACATCTCCCACCCCCATCTCAGCGACTGGACCGCCCGTCCCCGTCTTCACCGGCGTTGAAAATATTGAGGCTCTGAACGACGGAGCGGCGGCGATGGAGGGGAATCTCCTCCTTCCGGAACCCCGACACGGACACCACCCGGAGATAGAGGCAGCGTAGCACGCTGGCGGCGACGAAGGTGGAGGGAGTGGGGAACGCCGGTTCTGGACCAGGCGATTAGATGGGGCGAGCATTTTCTTCGTAGGGTCTGGGCCGCAAACGAGAAATGAGTTCATCGACGAAGGATGAGGTGGGGAAGGTCCGGCCACAGAGAGAGAGAGAGAGAGAGAGAGAGAGCCCTTTGTCTTCAGTGGCGAAGATGGTGAAATTTTCCGATTAAAAACAAGAACGGCATACGAGTGAGGACGGGGAACCTGCTCGATCGATCCAATAAGTTGAGTTTCTGGATTTCGTTGAACGCAGTAATTATTTCTGAACAGTACGGAGACGAGTCAGAGATTTCATCCTCGAGGCAAAGATGCCAACAGGATCAGCAAGAGCGAGAGGAAAGCAGCTAATCGCATGCTTGAAAGGAGAGAGAGAGAGAGAGAGAGAGAGAGAGAGAGAGAGAGAGAGAGAACTTTCCAATGAATCCAGCATCAAATGCTGCAACCCGACTAACCCTCGGAGTGATCAGCAAAGAGAGCGCCAACTTCAGTAAAACCAGTCCATCTCCAACCACAAAGCTGATTAAATTTTTCATGAAGTAGTTGACCGGAGAGATCTATGAGCTTAAGTTCCTCACATCAGACCTGGTTGCAGCTGCAGTCGAGGTATCTATCTGATGCAATGAGGATGAGCAGGTGGCTGGCCCAGCCTTCCAAGTCACTGGATCCTCGATTAAAGAGATGGGGAAGAAACAATTAAAGAGATGCATGGGACCGCCCGTTGACTAGTTCTCCCATGGTTGACCTCCCCTCTTCTTCAGGTCACTCCATGGCTCGTCCCCAGATATATGCCCCCTGCAAGGAATACATAGAAAGAAAGAGAAACTGGCTCTGAGTAAAACTCTCTGGACACTCAAATTCAGAGAGAGTGAGTGAGTGAGTGAGTGAGAGAGAGAGAGAGAGAGAGAGAGAGAGAGAGAGAGAGAGAGATGGGATATGCTCGGTGGGTGTTGCATGCAGGTCAGTCTTTTGAAAGGAAGTGGAAGAAAGGAGAGGTGGATTCAAAGGGCCAGAAATCAATGGCGAATTGAATGGAAAGCCCACTGAGCACATTGGATGGAATACCTGGTGGTATCTTCTTTCAGCTACCTCTCAATGTAAGATAACGACATCCCTTGGAACGAAGAACACGATGCCGGCAAATTATCGTGTGCCGATTTCAGCAATTCCATCAATTCTTTCGCTTGCCGGGTCAACATGAACACCTCATCCGAATGCTTTCTGGTCAGCCATTGCTCTACTTCCCTGCAAAAGCAGAGGAGCGAAGAACACTATAACCACAAACAATATATGCCAGCGACGAACGTCTCATATTTGATCGATGAACGAAGGATCGATGAACAAGTATTGCTTTCAGCGGAGAAAACTGTTCTGAAAGAGTTGACAGAGTTGGAGGAAGGGTCCTTCGAAGCAAACGAGGGTGGAGAAATCAGAGGCGATACGTTTAAATTGGGCATGAGGAGCATCAAGAAATAAGCCACTAAAGGCAAACAGGGATGCAAGAAACTGGACAAGGGAGAAAAAATAAAGGCGAGGATGACATGAAATGAGGCTGATGTAAGGTGTACTTTGGTCAACCATAGATGCAACATTTTTCTACAAAATAATTTCCTTTAAATATATACAAGTATGAGCTCATGCTGCTCCTAAAAGCTAGAATACTGACCTTGAGTAAATCCTTGTTTCAGAGCTACAGTCGGAAAATAGCACTTTAACAACAGGTTGCAGGTTAACCTCAGAAAGGCAACCAGAGATCTCGTTTTCAAAACAATCTCCACTAAAACACCATGCTTTCGAATTTAGAAGAACTATCTGCAACACTGGGGACCTTGTGCTCAGATCCTTGACAATTGTGTGGTAGGAAAGTTCATCGGTTGCACTTTCCAGCAGCGATTTCACAAAAAGTCTCTGCAGCGTGTGGTTTCTGCTCATCAAATAATTCGCAGAAAATGAGTCTTCAAGTTATATCATATTCTCACCATATATTATAGTCGCTTATAATAGGAACAACAATTCAATAATTTAATAACGAAAATACAAAATTTTCATTCAGTTGTGCGATCCCAGAATCCTTCATTCATTCCCAACAGGTTTGAGGCTTCTTATGAGATGAATTCATAAAATAAGTTATTTTAAAAAAAAATTGCGTTTTAGTTGCTAATAAGGTGGAAACAGAACCAAAATAGACAACAAAATGGAGCAAAGAAGAATCTGCCGTGATCATGACAACGATAGCATTATGCATATTTTCACATGAATGAAATAGCTTTTTTTCACTCAGCACGAGGGATTATAGATGAAAATAAATGAAAAATGAAATGTGCATTTACGACGTCAAATTAACTCTACACCAAATCCTTGCTGACTGAGATAAGTAAGGTTTGTATGCAGTTGTTCTTCGGCTTGCAGCGTTGATGCATTGGAGGACTGGGGATTTTTTTTACTATCCAGCTGTCAACCTGATCTGCATTCTACCAAGAACAGCACTAGCCACAAACAATCTGGTTTGTTTATACGAGAATGCAATTTGCGGAACTGTCTGTAGAGGAAAGACCAAGGGCTATTCCACATAGCTTATGCCGTGTTAATATATTCATGATCCAGTGTAGGAAAAGAAACCAATGTAGAGGCATGTATTTACAACTTAATTGATACAGTGTAAATATATATCTTTATCCAGTGACTGCATCTTAAATTCTCAGTGATACCAATGTTATCATTAAAATAAAAAAATAAAAAAAATCAGTAAGCAACACTGATCGTTAACTTCTTTTACCTGAATACATTATCTGGCCCACTACAATCCAGACTCGTTGAAACATAGCACTTGAATAATCGAATTCCACTGTCTACTGGATAATTTAGCCCCTTAGTAATTGGGTAAGATCCAAGTAAGGATGAGCAATTCCTACATGAAAATTCAACCCACTGGACTTCATTTGAAAGATTACATATTTTAATTAGAAAGCCACATCCCAGAACAACATTTAGTGACCCGTTTTGGCCTACATGGGATGCCAAATTTCCCATGGGTGTAACTGCAACATCATGAAGTTTTCCGTAGCTGTGATTTAGATGACTGTTTCTTTCATCAGCACAGCAATGGAATGATTCATTTGGGAAAACTTGGTTAACTGATGAACCGTGAAATATATCAGAATTTTCGTTGGCATCCATCTTCCTCTCTGCACCAATGTCAGCTTTTCTCTCATTCAAACTATGCTTAGTGGGATCAGGACTAACACGAGTGCCTTCACTAGCATTTGCGCTGGACATGCCTTTGACTTTTGCTACAGGATCATTCATGTCACTATGACTTGAATGCTCTACTGGGCACTGAGTGAATTCATATCCTTCAAGATCGTCCTTGCAAATGGTAACTGAAGGGCCGTCCAACAGACATGTAGACTCAGCACAACTGTAAGCTTTAATATATGCACGCACCAATTTTTCACTTATACCTCCAAATGAACAGCAACCTGTCCCAAACCAATTGTCTGCCACCTCACGCCAGTCAGCTGATGGCATTTCCACGAACTTCCTGCAAAGAAGATTATGAAGTTAGCAGAAAACGAGAAAAATATAAAATAATAAGTCAGCAACGGATCCAATGAAGCTACAATTATCAAATGAAAATCAGATTCTTGGCATTGTAGCATCTACTATTTCAGACTTGCAACCAGTTTATGTCTTTCAATTGTTGGCATTGACCCAAATATCAGAAAAGGAGAGTGCATGGAAATTTTTTCTGTGAAAATTAGTTCTTAGTAAAATAAAAAAAGGTAATCACAGGGAAAATCTTTGACTTAGAAGAGCAACCCCGAGCTTCAAACCTAAATATTTATGGCTTCACGAATAATAAAGGAACACTTCAAAAAAATATAATCCTAGAAATATAATAAAATCCCGGAGGAGAAAACAAGATGGCAGAGCATCCGACATATTCAATTACAAATACATTCCATATTTTCCAACACGAAGGAAATGGATGGAAAAAAACCGTGGAAGGAGCTCTACAGAAATGGCGCCTTCCAAAATTCACCTCCATCTCTGTAGGGAAAAAATTACTAAAGAATGGCGCCTGACTATCGGTATACCACAAATTGTTTGTACAATACACAAATAACTCGTAGTGCAGGATATTGCACTTGTCTAAGTTAAACAAGTATCGAAAATGGAGGGCACATTTCAATGCAGATCGTAACTAGGGAGATCTGAGACTATAAGAAAACCTCTCTACAGGTGACAAAGCCTCTTAAGGGATAAAGCAGAAAGACATGGCTTTTGATTCAATTGGATTCCAGAAAACACCAGGATTGATAACATAATTACTATAAAGAGGAATCACAGTGATTGTTTCTCCACAATATCTTGTTTCGTCTGCCTAAATAACTAGCGTTTACAGTGAAGCGATCAATATTGGAATCAAATACAACGAAATGACGTTAAAGATGCCTAAATTTAGTGTACACTGTCATTTACACCTTACATATCGATTATATGCACATGAGCAGTGTAAATTTGTATTTTCTTTCATCATTCTGTAATCGGAATATGGAGTCGAGTTTGAAAACACAGGTAAGTGGAACAGATAATAAATGAAAACTACTACCTTGAAGGTATCTTTGTTACTCTCGTACAGCAAGTCTTACAATAGAAATGCACATCTCCAGTAGAAAGATGCTTCATATCTGGTTCAAAATTTCTGAAATATTAGTTTCAAGGATTATAAACATATATATATGAGTAAAATAAAATAAATTAGGTTCAAGAGATTCGGTGAAAATCATAGAAGAAAATTGGCATTATCAAAATTCCTTCATTTTAACACACTACTTTGCTACTTACGCAAATTAGTCCAGCAGCAGAATAAAGACTCTTCATTGTGGTAAAACCAAGCCGCAATTTGAGAAATGACAGGTGGAAACTAGTGGATTTTGATCCACTATAGTTTAAATTGATCGTGTAGTACCATATATCTATGTAGATGCATTTTTCTCTCCCCTGTCAATGCTTCTCACGGACAGGAGCTTAAACGTAGGATGCGGTAAGAAAGCTTTACATCAGCACACAGGGGACTATCAAATCATTTTCCACTCTATCCCTGCACCTCTTCTAAAGCATGCCCGATCGGAGGAGAAAGGTGCCAAAACAGATACGAAATAACTATATTTGATTTTGCAATTTATGTAAACACAACGGCTATCCGCAAAATTTCTGCTTTAGCTGTCACTAATCAGGTCTCCAAAGAGAACTTAGGAGCCTTTTATCTTATGATTATATACGGAAGGAAATGAAAACGAAAGGGGATGAACTATCCATAAAGAAAAATGCCTTGGCTCACCGGAATCCAAGGAAAGAGGAAGCGAATAGCCTGAAAAATCTCCCTCCGGCCTCCTGAAAAGCGCACCCGCATCCAAAGCCGACCGGGAACTCATGGACATCGGATGATCAAGCGGGAGAACCAGGACTAACTTAACCTCGATGTGGTCCTTCCTGGACAAGACCTGGACTGGCGCCACTGTGTCGATGAGAACCCTGGGAACCGGAACTCTCAACTCCAAGTCCCCGGCCCCTTCTTCCCTCCACCGCACGACAACTCGAGACTCCCCCAGGCAGAGCGAGGCCTCCAGGTTCTCGCAACTCTTCGAGGGTTCGACTTCGGAACTGAAGAGGAATAACCTGAGCGTGGGAGTGTGCGCTAGGGACTCCCAGGTGAAGCGCCATCTTCTGCAGCTCCGCCGCGGCGAGGTAGAAACCAACGGCATGCTCATTCCCCGCGACCGATCCTTCACGCGGCGGCGGGGATTTTGATTTCCGGGTTTAATTTAACCGAAGCGCAAAACCCTCATACATTAAATATATTTTTTCTTATTATAACTAAATAATTATGAACGGCTTAACTTTTTCTTCGAGTGCCGGGAGGCCCATATAGGCCCATTAAGGATCGCTCTCGCGTGATGGCAACAGGAAGGCCCCTTTTCATTTATCGGCCCAACCCAACTTTTTCACTGGGCCCTGCCCCAACCATTAAAGGGCACACAACATAGATTTCCGGGCCAGGTGATATTCTCTCCCAAAAAGGTAAATATGTAAAGTACACAATGTAGAGGGCTTTTAAAAAAATATCATGTGCCCCCACTCACTTTACCCGAGTGAGGGTACATATCAAATCCAAGGAAATACATCTGTTTTTCTCAATAAAGTAATCCTGGCGGCGATGAAGAAAAATACAGAGGGAACACTGTTGGTGCCCATAGCGAACACCGTCGAGGCGTCTTGCCACCGCCGAAGGTAGCTCTTCCCGGCGTTGAACAGACGTCGTCGTCGTCGTCGGCGGCGGCGGCGGCGCGATAACTGGCTCTACGCCCTCACCGTGCCGTCATCAGCACAAGCGCCGGCGGTCGCCGCCGCATAATTCAATATCCTGTCCGGAGAGGAAGAGCCAAGAGAAGAGAAGGGGGGGCCCGCTTGCTCCTCAGAACACGCCATATTTTTCCAGATATGGCCGGTTTCGTGCCACCATCCGTCGCCTTCTCCGGAGTAGAATATGAAATTCCGCCGAGAACTTCCCCAGCACGCAATCCAACCAGTGAGGAGAAGCATGGAAGGTGATCTCACCGGCCGAATATTTTGTAGGGTTTCTGGAGCGCTGTATGAGGAAACAGCTAGTGGATGGAATGGTATCCGTGAAACGAGTCTTGTTAGGTCGCAATGTGACGTCTCTCCCTCGTGGGAAGTCAACTCTCGGTAAATTAGATACCATATCCTTCCCTTTTTCTTCAATTTCGTCGCGCGGGCGCGACATTCGAAGGGATTTCAATGTTTCTTTTGGGCCTCGGATTGTTTCTGACATGTGATTTCTCAGCACTCGGAGAACCCTATCTGATTCGCTTGGCCGGGGGAGGCATTGCAGATCACGGATCAGGTGACCCGCCTAGACCTCTGAGGTATTGCTGAGCTCATTCAGATCAGTAGAAAACCTAGTTTAAGACTAATGATGGTGGCATCTATCTGGAGCGAATCAGGAGCAACGACATGGATGACTATTCTATTTTAATTTTTGTCAATGGGCCCCGCATGCCTCTCCGTGGTTGCCAGCCATTCTTCCCCGACATGACTGTAATCAATTCGGAATTCATTAATCCAGGCCATGCGAAAGCCACCAGATGATGTCTCCCCCAGAATGCTCCAGTCCCTTGGGAAATCTTTAATCATCAGTCTAGAGTCTCCGATGATGGTGTTGGCCCTCTTCTTCCGAGGGATCGCCTCGAGTTCCAAGGGTATTAGCCCATTTGTCTTTTGTTTTTCCCCTAGCAAGAACAGTCTACTGTAGTTCATCCGTGTGGAGGGAGCTCCGACCTCATCAGTCCTCTTATAATCTTCCTTCTTGGGATTTTTATTTTTCTTCTTTATCAAACGAATGATTCTGTATGATTATCACAAGAAAGTGTTTTTTCTTGGAGCGGTTTTTAATGAAGGTGATAAAGATTTTACCACAATGCAGCAGAGGTATCAGAGACTGCCTCCGGATCATACGCTCTCATTCACTGAAATGTTCTACTGCAACTTATCTTCGAAGCTCCCTGAAGGAGATGTTCAGCTACTAACGATTTTAATGATCGTCCTTCTTATCGTTCGTGATGCTCTGCCCAGAAAGATACTTTCCTGCAGGGAACGATTCGTCGACCGGCCTTTTTTTCATCCCAAATTCCGCTGCTACAATCCGCTGACGAGCTCACCAATCGTGCAGCAGCAGCGGCCGGAGCTGGAAGAAAGCGAGTAAATTGGGCGCCGCAGCCCCACCCACGTCCAGCTCGCAAGAGCATTACACGAGCATTAAGAGGAGGGCCTCCCAGCCTGCGGACCCCACATGGAACTGCTCGACTGGTTCTCCGCAGCGTTTTCTGCTTGACACCAAATTGATTTCCTTGTGTAGAAATTATGCCCAAAACAGCCAGCACAAGAGGTTCCCATGGATGAGAGAGAGAGGCTCATGAAGGAACCTCCTTTTGAAGAAAAGAGTGAGGCCAATTACATCAATAGCCCTGCAGCGGAGGAGCTTTCTGGCGACAGTTTAGCCCACCTGGGGGGTCCTTACTCATTTCCTCTTAAATTTAGTATTTATGTGAGGCTCCGTGCTAAAATATCGTCCTCTACCTACAGACACCACCAGGGATAAGCTTAGCCAGAACAGTGCCCCACTAGCCACACGAAAAAGGAGTCTTTCTGAATCATCAGCACGGAAAATTGGCGGCGACCGTGATGGGCTCCTGGCTCGCGGAGATCATCGCCCATGGGTTCACGAGGAAGGCGTCTTCGCAGAGGAACCCTCCACCCTGGTCCACGTACTGGAGGATCTCGCCCAGGGAGTGCAGCCGCCCTCCCAGCTCCGTCATCTGGGCCCTCAGCACGGAGTTCTCCGTCTCCACGGCCAGGCACTGCTGGGTGACCGCCTTCAGGTTGGTGATAATCTGGCCGTTCTCCTTCCTGAGTTGACCCACTTGGGCAGTCAGGTCATCCAGATGCTTCTGCTTCCTCTGCCGGGACCTCCTCGCCGATTCCCTGTTGGAGAGCTTCCTCTTCTGCTTCCTCATGTCAGTCGCCTGCAGCTGCAGGTCCTCGTCGGAGCTGGCCAGCAGAGTGGAGCCCGAGGACGTGCCACTCCCGCTGGAAGAAGCCATGGCTATTTGAAGGACGATAGCTAAGTGAGGTAATATGCGTATTATGGATACAGATAGATAGATAGATTGTAGATAGGTTTGGTAGGTTGGGTTTTATTATTTTTAAGGAGGCTGCAGGACCCAGAAGGCCGGTCGGCTACGGGGGGAGGGATCCTCACGAGAAGACGTAGAACCAGTAGAGGAAGACGACGGAGAAGGACTGAACCAGATGGGTCCTGCGCCTCAGAGCGGAATTTATCATAAACCCGGAGAGGAGGATCTCACTGACGATTGGAGACATCAATCAGGAACATCAAAGGAAACCGGCTTTTTCATGTGGAGGGAAAGGCAAGGCCGGAACGGAGACAGAGGAGAGTGGACCAGCGGCGGTGGCGGATCTCCGATCAAAGCCTGCCGGCAAGAAGGAAAGAAAGGCGGCGAAATGGTCGACGAGGAGCTCCGAGGTGGAGGAGCAGGCGGCGCCGATCCCGAAGGAGAGACTCCAACGCAGGAGGAAGCGGAAGAAGGGTTTCAGCACCGCCGCCCTTGGATCTAAAGGAACGGGGGAGAGAGAACAGGCTGAAGGGAGGACGGAGAAGCGGTTGAAGAAGAGAAGAGAGGGGAGTTACGATTGAGCCAAGGGGCGACTTTTATAGAAAAATAGGGGCGTCTGCCCACGCATGTGCCGGCACACACATGAGAGATAGAGATAGAGATAGAGAGAGAGAGAGAAGTGCATGCACTTTACGTATTTCTGATAATACCTCTAACTTCATTTATTTTCCCTGATACCCCTCTTTTCGCTTGAAACCTACTCCTTTAAGAGATAGCGAGAGAGAGAGAGAGAGAGAGAGAGAGAGAGAAACAGTAGACCATTAGCTCCACAATATTATCTAGTTATCGGAGATCTCGATAATATTATTTTCTTGACAAAGAATATAAGGATTTGTCTTCAGTTTGACATTACGCTCAGAAGTTATGTTTTTTTTTCCAGAACCCTCGAGTCACTAAAATTATTTGTTTATATGTTAGTTTCACGCGACCAGGTTCACTGTCTACTTCATAACTTACGTAAACGGCATCTCCAATACTTAAGACGAGAATCGAATATTGAAATTGGTGGAAATAAAATCCAATTAAATAAAAGTATATTGGAAAGCGCATCGGGAACGGGTGGACGGTGGTGAGGAATCTTCCGCCAGAAAGTCCCTTGGTCATCAGGCAGGGGATAACGTGGCACTTAAACTATCACAACCGTCCGATTTCGACCTGACGTAAACCCCCACGGTCCCTTTCCTCAATCCCTCTCGGCTCCGCCGCCAGCTGCTTGAGTTCGATAGATATTTTCCAATCTAACTTCCATTTTTTTTCTCCGAAAATACAGTTTTCTAGGATTAACATAAAATTCTCGTAATCAACATAAAATTCTCACGTTATGTTTTAATATGATTTAAATTTAAATACTTTAAAATATGTCTCACCTTTGTTTCTACGCAAAGGATGTAAAATCAGACTGATTTTTTATTTTCCTTTAAATTAAAATTTTTAAATAAATAAATTATGGGCTATGGTGGGGGCACCTGGGGTGATGAATAGGAGAGGGGTGTGAAATTAGAGGCTCCGCGGTGACGAGCACGACATCGGCTCACCGCCTCCCGGATTTCAACACCTTCTCTCCCCCAAAAACTCTGATAACATCATCTTGGAGGCCGGTACCAGCCTTTTTCTGGGGTAGGTTGGTAGAAAGCACGTGACATCATGCCACTATTTGGTCTTGTCTTGTCTTCTGTTCTGAGATTATCACCCCCCGGATTTCAACACCCCTCTCTCTCTCTCTCTCTCTCTCTATATATATATATATGTCATCTATATAATGATTAGGTAAAATTAGGTAAAATTATTCACATAAGTAGAGAAGAAGTCAATAGAAATAAAATAATGAAAATTGAATAGGAATGGTCAAGCATATTGATCATTAAAGTCATTGGCTCAACCAAAAAAATTAGTTATTAGAGGTTCAACTTGTTGACGTGTAATTAATTAATTGGGTAAGACTGGAACCCACATCAGTCGAATTCTCTTTGTGAGCACGTGCCTCGAGAATCCTCTCCCCCATCCCCATGGGCACCCGAGTGGCTTCTGGTTTCTGAAGTAGGGAGCTGGCTGGCGGAAAGAGCCCCAAGGGCAGGGATCGCCCACGCCGAACGTGTTCGTAGGAGCTTTTTTATTACCCTACAACTTAAAAAGCATCTTTTTCTCATCTGGGGGAGAGAAGCAGGGGAAAGCCATACCCCCCTCCCCCCTCTCTCTCTCTCGGTGCAGCGATGGAGAGGGAAACGGGCGGTGACATGAGAAAAGAGAACTCCACTGAAGGGCGGGCGATGTCCCCCTCCTGGATAAACCTCGGTCGACCGGTGTGAACTGGGCTTCGACCCACTAGTCCATATATAGATTTCCCCCGCCCATAGCACCAAACGGGGACCCAAAAAGCTGATTCGGGAAAGAGGAAATTCCCCCCGGAAATTCTCTCTCTCTCTCTCTACATCCCTGGGCATATCTTCCTTGGTCGTGTGTTCTTTCCACAGGATCTCTCCGGGCCATTCAAATAAGGGGGGCGGTGCCCGGCGGGCGGAGGAACAGAACCAGGTTCTAAGATGTGGGCCACACAGACAAGAGGGACTGCAGCGTGGGCCCCAGCTGCCCTCCTTATTCTACACGAAGTATGGGAAATGGGCTCATAGCCCAGGAAAATAAAATGGGCTAGGCCCAATAGCCGGTGCTAATTGGATTAAAAGAGATGGAGGCTTCTAGAAAAATAAAATAAATTAAAAGAAGTATACTCATTTTGGTTCGACTACTCTCTTCTCCTCTGCGGGTGAAATCAGGGCATCGCAGATCTCTCACCCTGTCCTCGTCCATGATTGGAGGGCGGTAACTTCACGTTTCCGTGCGGGGTCGAGCACAACATCGCGGCGCGTGGAAAACCGTTTTTGCGGGCCCAGATTTTAAATCTTCTGGAGCGCGGGAGATGGGGGCGGTTAGGTACCGCCCGCTGACGTGGCCCTTACGCTGTATAAGAGGTCAGGAGTCTGTCATATACCTCCGTCTCACTTCTCTTCATCCATCCTGGTCCTCTCTCGTTCTCCGTCGATGGAAGAGGCGGGAAATGTTGCATTGGTGTGGGTGGATCAATCAGGGGAAGCCGCCTCCTCCTCTGCAGAGTGGAAGGAGAGCTGGGAGGTGGAGTTCTCGCGCTTCTTCAACTTCCCCTCCGTCTCCTCCGATGCGTTGGCCTCCCACAGCCTCAAGCCGATCACCAAGTATAGAACCCGCGGGGGGACCTGGGTTACAGCTTCATCTCAGGCCAGGCTCCAGCTGGTCAGACTTCGAGCTGACGTTGATCCTGTCATCTCCGTCTCTATCCGAGGAACGATGATCGTCAGTGCCTCACCGCCTTGTTCACCACTTCTCCATTCCCCTTTTTATAGAATTCCGTTGTTATTCTTCTGTCTTGTTCGGTATAGTTAGATCGCAGTTCCGGTCTGCTGGCGCTTTCAAAGTTATGGTGACAAATTTGAGTGGTCTTCATGGTTCCCTCTTCATCTCTTCTTCTAGTTGTAGTTAAAGACATTGGAGAGAGAGTTTGCGAAATTGCTGAGGCTCTCGTATCCCGTTATCACTACGGAGACTTTTATTCATAGATTTATTCGTCGTTTTAGATTCTATTAGCACTTAAATAAAGCCACTGGAAAGGAATTAGGGAGATTCGTGAGGCTCGTCGATTCCTCTCCTCCCCCAGCATTCCGCGATCTTCTAAAAATTGATTTGTCTATCTTCTCCAGAATTTTATAGCGTGAAACAAAGATGAAAGTATATTTGTTTTTACGCGATCCATTTTTATTCTCAAGTATTCATAGTTATGATTGAAAACATAACTATGAAAACTTTTCCATTGAAAATAATCCATACAGTTTCAACACTAGTAGGTTTTGATATCAGTGATGACATTTTTTATCTGGTTAAGTTAGTATCCATTTCATTTTTATATGATTTCGGTATACAATCACCCTGGATTACGTACATGCATGAAATTGATAGTTATGAAATCTATCTTTATAATTGAGCGACTTTGAGTCCCGAAATGACTGAGTGGAGTTGAAACTTTTTTTTTTTCATTACAGAGTTTTTAAAATTCACTTGTCAGAGTGATCAGCTATTGTGGACACCCGTATACTACGCACTTCGTACCGTCTATTATATATACACCCCTGTGCGCGGGAGCAGCAACAGGACTGGTCTTTTTGCCCTCAGGATTAGAGTGGACTCTGACCAGTCTTGAGTCGAGGTCCATTATCCAGGATACCAATTGTGTCCTAACCCCTGAGATGGACCGAAAAGCCAAAGATAAATGACTGCAGTGACAAGGAAAATAGGGATTTCCAAAGGAACGGTTATCCTTTAATGTTTCACGTATGTGTATCACATGCCTCACATAAGTGGGTCGTTTTCTCAAAAAAATACAAAAGACTTCAGATAACACATGCTTTTTCTTCCAATTATGATGGATTTTTTTAATCTTCATTTTTAGCTTTTACATTCTCTACGCTGGTAAGGTTTAAATGTACTTAATTTTTTTCGTCCCAACAGGTTTTTACCCTTACTTTTTTTCAAGGGAACTCTTAGGCTTTGCCGGGAATCAGGTGATAGATATTTACGTTTTTCTTTACATTCTTGCTACAGGAAGAACACTTCATCTCCAATCTAAGTATCTCCTGGCCTCAGGTGTCTTGTGCATCTGAGTGCCCCACCAGGGGTAGCAGAGTGATATTTTTCAGTTATATTTGTTCCTCTGGTCAGGCGAGTATCATATACCACTATTTTCCCACGACTAGCGTCGGTGACATATAATGATCCAATTTTTTTTTCGTTCTTCATAATCTTGCCTTTCTCGTTGTTCTCATTAAAATTTTTATTTACAATGAATATTAACTATAATAGAATATCTCTTGTGTATTTGCAGACACATAAGTTTGCGATCCGATTTAATGCATCTTCCCTGCTGCAAGATTTTCTTTATAATATTGAGGTACGTAATATCTCTTAATTATCTCCTATTGTTGGTTTTATCTTTAACTTTTGAACTATGGTCCATATATTGTGTGTATTGATGCTTGATCCAAATATTTTTCATGCATTCTTGGACACTGTAAAAACCAAATTATTGCATCAGATGTCTCTGGAAATGCGAATATTTTTTCCTTTTTTTTTTATAGAAAAGTCAACATGTTTTCTATCTATAAATCCTGCTGTGACGATTTGATTTTGAGGATTTGAGACTGCATAATAATTAGGAAACATGATGTTAAATACATTGTTTTTTGGGAAGAATGTTTTTTAACGCTGTTCTTGTGTGATACTTCTTTCGTATACTCATAGTAAATAGTAATATTACTTATTTTGACAATGGAATATTTGATGCCTGGGAGCCGTGCTTTACCTTGATGTGTCCCATGATATTACTGAAATTTTATTACTGAGTATCTTACCAGTCCGCAGACCTACCTCCTTCGTATATAAAAAGGTTAATTTTGGGTAGGACCTATCTTAGATAGATAAATCTTGCACTTCATCCACGTCTAAACCTGTTGTGTATACAGTAATCTTATATAATGATTTTTTATATTTTAAATATGATAATTTTATAAATCATCAATCGTGATGCTGTCCTCAGGCTAATCATCCCTTAACGCAAATGAGTTGCCATCACTGTCTGAGCCGCCTGTAGCATAACTACTAGATTTGTCCTTGTTAAGAGTCACATTGACGTTCCGCATCACTCATTCTTAATTGGGCCACATCCTTCATTTTAGTTGATAATGTCTCTATTGAAGGTATTGACTGCCGCTTTAAACGTTGACCTCGAATTTTTACTCAATATTTTTGGTTATCCATTTTATTTTCTTTTTATGGACGCTAACAAGTTACAAGCGAAGTATATGATCAAGATTTCGGTGCATGTCAGGGATCACATCAGAAGCTATGATTGCAATATTCATCTGTCCCCTAGGATCAACTTTAATTATGCTCATTAATGAAGTGATCATGCCCACAGTCTCTGACCTTTCTCCTCTCTTGCTCTCCTCCAACACTTTTCTCCACAGAAGATTTGTAATGACAAGAAGGTTGCTGGCACTCTTCTATGTGAGGAGCCAACAACTTCTGATCAAATTGGTTCGAACAGGCTTCAACACAGGTGAATAGATTCCATGTTTCCACATCCACCTTCTTTCCCCCCCATGATCTTCCAGAATCGCAAGGTTCAGAGAATATGATTTTTTTCTAAAAATAAATTCGCATCTTATATACGCTACTGTCACTGGCCAACTCACACTAAACGAAGAATTCTTTTAAAATATTGTGTGATGCGCACTGTTGTACCAACAGAAGTAGCGAAGAATCCGGCTTCAGCAAGCCTTCTTCCCCATATACACCGGAGTTGCCAGTCTTGTCTATAACTGACGGCGAGAGCAGATGCTCTCTGCAACCATTGTTCGTAGACGACATTGAAGCCTTCTTAGGAGTGCCTCCGAGTTTCACAGAGCTACTCACCGAATGCTCAACTCAAATTGGTACTATCTACAGTCTACTCCCCTGGATTTTCCTTTTTGATATCCGTATCGGCAATAATACCTAAGAGTATTGCCATGCATTACCGTTGTGTGCATTATTTTTAAAATCTTTTGGTTACTAAATATCGAGCATGCATATATGGACCATGTACTAATTTTTTGTTAATATATGGACGATGTACCTGAACATAACATGGCATCTTAACAAATATACTCATTCCTATTGCGCCCATGTCATGTCCTACGGATTCTGAGCGCCTGAACGGGATGAATGTATGGGTATTCTTATTCGTTATATATATTTTTTTAAAATCTCTAAATATGGACATTGCAGCCCAACGAATGCAAGGAGCAGGAGACAATCGTACGGATAGAAACACGGAGGTACTTTAGACAAATAACAATCTCTCAAAAAAAAATCCCAATTTGGCGTTCTCAGTGTCGACCTTCTGTATAACATTTCCCTTTTGGATTACATCGACGCAGAAAGCCGCATCGAATTCGCCTCTGCGTGACAGCCTGAACGGTGAGTCCTCCTTTTCGGGGCTCTCTTCGATGGTCTTCCCCGTCAAGTCAACGCCTTTGTGGGCCTCCCTGCAGCAGTTTCCGTCGACGACTTCCTGACCAGCCTGGAGCAGCTAATGCTGGCGGGAGAGGCCGATCTCAAATGCCAGATCGAGGTACATATAGTCAACCCTTCCAAAGAGTCCCATTTCCTCGGTTTCTCGACCCCATTTCCTTACCGATAGATCACTCGCCCTTTCTCGCAGAAATGCCTGGCCGACGCTTCTTTCCGAGGTACGGACGCCAACCCTTTCTCGCCCTTATAGTTTGACGAATAAAGTTTTCTTAGGGGGCGTTCAATTGTCTCGCTTGATACTTAGGACGCCCGGGTGGAGTAGTAGTCATGATCAAGTGCTTACTCTTGACCACATTTGGATCATGGAACGTTAGTTGCGGAGGCGCCGATCACCTAGCTGACCACTTGCATATATTCTTTAACGTGCCAGATATGTTGGCCAAAATAGAGAGGGTCGTCGATGAGCTGGGAGGTGAATCGACGGCACTTAGTTCCTCCCCGCCCCGCACAGACTAGGCCCCTTCTCGAGACGATGGAATGGCCCGTCGGAAGATGATGCGTCAAATCCCACTGCCATTGTCGGCCTTAGTTGTGTCCCTTTGTCGTCTCCAAATATGGAAAACTTCCTTCTACCAGTCTTTGCCCCTCGCAATCAACACTCCTCCGCAGAACCCATGGCGCAGAGAGGCGGTGGGCTGTTTGGCTCGGTGAAAACGTGCGCGCGAGAGCCGCATCTCCGTGGGAATCTCACGCGCTGACGAGAAACCCTCCGTCTACTCTCCCTAACCCACCGAAAACCATTATTGAACTCCCCCTGGGTTTTCGGTGGGTCTAAAAGTTTGAGTGTTAGATATTATCTAGGGAGGACCACCAAACGAACAAGATGTGGGGGTCAGAATAAACGTTTTGAAAGGAGAGGTATGGCTGGTTTGTACGGGTTATCTCCCCATTTATGATCCATTCTTCACAGGAAAGCTTATATTTGGCTCTCTTGTAGATGTCGGCGGATTTTTCCAAACCATGTGGATGTTTGTATTTTCTTTCATCTTATAGACTGTTTGCTCTTCAATATATACATGAGTCTCTTTTTGATATTTTGACAAATATTGATACTGAACTATATACACTGTTGTTTCAATATCTCAAATTTTTGCAACACCGGTTGTCATGTACACAACATCTGTATTAGAACATATTCTCATGATTATGTAGATTTCATTTGCTGCATAAAGATCCCAATTAGAAAGTTTGACGTTGAGAATTTTGATAGCATGATTTGGCTTAGGTCTATTTTCATCTATAGAATAATTATATATTTTATATTTGCTAAATTCTCTTTTTAAAAAATATTAAACATTATATATTTATGATCGTCGTTTGTAACAATCATCTTACCCCATGAAATAATCGATTGCTAAGGGATAGATAGGCCAAATCGACTTATTTAAGTGTTGGTTTGGAGAGAGTTGAAAGGGCTGAATTAAGTCCACCCCAAGAAACCTACTCCCATAATTCTTGTTGACCAGAGGATTTAACTAGCTTTCATTAATTTCTGATATGTAAGCTATTATTATAGACTTAGAAGTATGAAACTATGTATCAAATAAATGAGAAATTTAATATTATTTGAATTTGATAACTAAGCTTATCAATTGTTACTTTAATAGAAAACACTACCCACGGATCTAATTCAAATTTGTATGAATCCATAGGTTCCTTCAACTAGATGACTTAATTAGATTCTCAAACAAATATTTAAATGACATATGAACATTAGACCAGGAAATAGTTCAAGTAAATCTTTTTAGGCAAGAACGGAAAGAGGCAAACATCAGGGATAATAATGCAGTCAATCATTGTTTACGAGTATATGAAAGTAATGATTTTTTATGTAGCACTAAACAATAATATGGCACCATTGGCAACATTGTCCGCATGTCTGTGTACCATCAAGTTCACCATCCCTTTTTTTCATCATGAATTTGAATAGCTCATATGTGCATCTTTGGAATAGTCTTCTTCTTTTTTTGTGTGTCATCATCAATTTCACACTGTCATCAGTTTCTCATTGTTCTGTCTACAAGGTACGAGCTCCCCCACCTTTTTTAGTGCAAGATTATTGTCAGGGTTCGTAGTCCTCTATGAAACCATTGGATATTCTCTTTGTTGGACCACTTTGTTGGATACACTGACCATACATGTGAATTACCATTTCTTTGGCAAAGCTAGGTTTGTTGTCGTTTCTTTGAATATTTCATAATATTTTTACATAGCTGTTTTCTCTTCTTTCTAGCCCTTGTAGATACACACAATGAGTCAATCCTCTTTGATGTAGGCTTACAACTAGGCCATTACTTGAAAAGTGCTTTTGAGGTCACTACAATGCTCTTTCCATTTTCATCTTACCTCTATGTCCTTCGAACCACATTCATATATAGATACACAAATGTCTATTCTTCTCGTCTTTATTTATTAAGTAAGCATTATAAAGAAATATATTCTTTACATGTTGATTTTCTTAATCCTTTGATAAAAGTAGAAGAGCAACAAGGAATGAAAATTTAGTGTTTTAAATTGATATTATTAAGGATTTCTAATATGGTGGAGGAGCTTCCATGAAGAAGGTAGACAAAAGAAAAGAATTAGTAGAAAGCTAAGAAGAGTATATATGAAGTATTAAAGAGACGAGTGATTTTAGACTACAACAAGTTGGGGCTCGAGATCCCTTTAATTAATGGTTGCTTATGGAATTAGATCAACTAGATGGCATGGTTATATCTCTCATAAGCTAAGCTTAGGCCAACTAATTATTAATATCATTAATTAATATCATCTTGCAAGTTTTATCATTTTATCCAAGGATATGGAAATTTAGTGATATTTAAAAATAAGACACCAAATTATAATTTAAATTTTAGTTTATATGTCTGTATCAAAACCAAGTTTAAACCTCATTGTCTGCACCATCGTCTGCACGACGCTCGCCGACGTGCATCGCCCCTGCGAAGCTTGCTGACTGACCGCGTGAAGCTAATGCACGCGTGACAGCTCGTGCACTGTTTTGCAGGCGCGTCACAACTTGTGCACCGTCGCCGGCGCATCTCCACCCGCTCACCGCCCGCCGCACATCACCGCCCGTGCATTCATCGCATGTGCGCTCGCGTGCCGGTCGTCGGTGCCGCCGGAGCACTGGTTAAGGTAAAGTTATTCTGATTTTAGGCTTTCCTTATTGTTACAAAATAAAATAAAAATAAATATAAAATCACTAAAAAAATTCTCTGATTAATTCTTGGCTCTCTGTGGTTCGACCCTTACTCAGTTATACTTTGTGAGGTGAAATATTAGAATTTTTTTTTGCTGAATCTAGAATTTACAATGATTACTGCCACATTTTCTAGATAATCACTAGCATAAGGGACACACAAGTGCAATTGCAAACAGAGAATTAAAGATCAGATCTGAAGTATCACAAGAGCTGAAAAGTTAGCGCACCTTGATATGGAGAGATACATTCTCATAATTGTTGGCTTGTAGACCTTAAGATAGATCTTCAATAATTTGAGAAAGTGGTGAAAAATGAAATAAAAAAATGAGAAAGATTGATAAGTGGAATGAAAATGATAGTTGACCCTCATGGACTCCCCAAAGATGAGGCATTGACCCTCATGACCTTTCCCTAAGGAGTGATTGACCCTCATGGCCTCCTCCTTAGATAAAGGCAAAAATTGAAGAATTTTTTTTTTCAAAAAAGAAGGTTTCACCCATTGTTACATACATAGGAGTTTATCTCCCCATTTATAGGAGAATTACAAGGATTAAACATAGAAGTTAGGGTTGAGCCTTATTCTTGTTGACTAGTGAAAGTGTGTTGACTTCTCAAAAGTTAGCCCTGAAGAGGTGTCTAGCCCACCCTTGAAAGCACGAATTTTTGGGGTTCAAAGTGTGCATTTGGAGGTGATTAGCTGGTAATTATAGATTTTTATTCCTTGACTTCTTTTGGATGAAAGTTGAGGTAGTTATTGAAAGTTGGTGGAAGCATCTATTCCAAATGAGCCCTCTTCTTGACTTAGGCTTAGGCTGAATTTTAGTTCAGCTGTCCCCTAAGTTTAAATTCACCTTGAGCATGTATAGTTGTCCTTGCGTCTTGGTCAAAGTGTTGATTTTGGTTGACTTTGATCCCATCAAAAAGAGTCTTCCAAGGTCTCTTTATAGTTAATAACTTCTTTTTAAGTAAATGACTTAGTGATAATATGTTTTATATTTCTTCATATTACCTTTATAATCTATTTTGTTCTTAAATATCTATTTATAACCAATAGGTTTTATATTTTTGAGTAATTGAATGAAATCTCAAATGTCATTTTCTAGTATAGATTTAATCACTTTATTCATAACCTTAATTCATTTATGAGAATTAAAACTCTCCATGACCTAATGAAAAGTGATGGATCATCTTTTATCATTCTAATGTTAGCCCCATAGTTTTGAAGAAATACAATATAATCATCTAGAATTATACTTCTTCTTTCTTTAATAAATCTCATTAATGACATGGTCTAATATTACTTTATGAATAATGTCAAACAAAACCTATTTTTTATCATTGTTGATAGTAATAATAGGAATAGAGACGTGTTACTTGTGAAAAATAAAATCCCAAATCTTATCTCATCATGAGAGCTCAACTTATTCAAATAACCAAGTATTTTCCATATTGAAAATAACCTTAGTAATTAGATCATAAAACTTATAACCTCTTGAACTTTCAGCATATAAAACAAAATAATGACTAAAAATTATGCTCTAATTGTCCATATTGCCTCCACTTCAACTTTACTATCATTACCCATAAATATATATTCTTAATATTAAATAACTTTCGAGAGTGGAGAAAACTCTACATAGATATACTTATGTGAATAGTGACAAAAAATTATCCATCGTGTCCAAAGGTACAAAATTAGTTAATATATGAATAAATAAATATGAAAATCTCACCTTTCTTTGACACCAAGCTAGATACCTGATGCAATACTTATTTATGTGTTCATGACACCTACAAAAAAAAAATCTTATATTTGTTATGTTTTATTTTCCTAAGTGAAGAGATACTTGTAATTTCTTTTCCTTTATGTCTTTTCTTAAATGTTTCTTTACAAGTCATAATCAGATGAACACTTTCATATATATCTTGTTTCAACTATTTTACCTCTTACATAGTGTGAAATGAGCTTATTAAGAAATAATTTGTCCTTTTAATAATTGTAGCACACCTTGAACTAATTAAAGTATATAGTGATATAAATTAGAACTAAATGCAAGAATAGGTATTCCTTAATAACTCTAATTTGTGTTTTTAGTTTCAACGTAGGATCTAAATTTCTATGATATACAATCTTATATTTAATTTTATTGTTATATTTTCTATATATCGAATTTACTATGTTCGTACTTATTTTAACCTTATTGTTCTTAATAGATATTTATCTAATTCGACAAGGAAATCCTTTGTTGTAGTGCCTTTTTTGGACAAAGTGAGAATGAAGGCTTTTGTACTGATGTGTTTTATAATCATCAAACTCATGTGATTTGATCAATCTTACTTTTTTGTATCTTAATTCTCCTCATAATTTATGGGTTGATCTATCCTCAATGCAGGGTCCAGATCTATAATTACAAAGATAATCATAATACTCTCTTTTCATACTTTAAAATTTATACAATTAAACATAGGAATTAATTTAATGCTAACATAGATATTTGAAGCATAAGTTAAAATTAGACAAAGAACAACACATAAGCCCACATAAACTTAAGTTCAAATAATAATATTTTCTATCATAATATATCAATTACAACATTAATATTACACCTTTGAATGTCAATATCAAATTGTAAATAATATTTTGGTGTGATAAATAAATATCAAAAATAAAATTCTATCAAACAAGAAATCTTTCTTTAGATTGACTTATTGTTCACATGAAATATTGAATAATTATCAAATATTCATTATCACAAATACATATAATTCAGTCAAATACTAAATTATCATTTGTAAGTTAGTATTCATATGAATTACATGTTTAACCATCTTAATATTCTAGAATAATCAATTTCCATTAGAGAACCAACTTTTGTAGTATGTTTGTTTAATTAATTTATCTCAAAACATAAGATATGCACGAAAATTTGAGGCATGAAAGTTATTTGACATTTAAATATGTTTAATGCAGAATAATAATTGATAAATCAAATACATTAATTTACAAATTATGAAATAAACTTCACAAAATTAATTTCATAGATAACCTAAATGACATCATGAAATTGAATTTTTTTTAGATGACGTCAGTGGACAGAGTACTGACGCCATCATTACGACGTCAACCCTGCGGACCCAGTGTATCGGCTCGCGCCGAGCCGGCGCATCATTCCTCCGCTCGAGCCGTTCCTTCACTCGGTATGAGCCGAGCCGCCGCAGCCGTTCGGGTCGAAACCGGCGCGGGGGGCTGGGGTTAAGGGGGGCGGCTGCTTGAGAGAGCTGAACGGGAAGGGAAGCGGACGGCGAAGGGGAAGCGGCAGCCATGAACGCTCCCGACAGGTACGAGAGATTCGTCGTCCCCGAGGGAACGAAGAAGGTATCATACGAGAGGGATACAAAGATCATCAACGCCGCCTCCTTCACCGTCGAGCGCGAGGACCACACCATTGGCAACATCGTCCGCATGTCAGTATACCATCGTGGTCTCGATCCCTTTCTTCCATCACGAACTGGAATAGCTCGTGTGTGCGTCTTTTTAATCGTCTCCTTCACTTTTTCGACGTTATCATCAGTTTCTCGTTGTTACCAGGCAGCTGCACAGGGATCCGAATGTTCTGTTTGCGGGGTACAAGCTCCCTCACCCTCTGCAGTACAAGATTATCGTCAGGGTTCGTGATCCTCTACGAAACCACTGGATGTTCTATTCCTTCGACTGCTTTGTTGGATACACTGACCATACATTGCGAATTACCGATCTTTCGCAGAGCTAGGGTTGCCGTCATTCCTCTGAATATTTCATAATGTTCTTACGTACCTGTTTCACTTCCTTCTCGCCCTTGCAGATACACACGACGAGCCAGTCCTCTCCGATGCAGGCTTACAACCAGGCCATTACGGATCTCGATAAGGAGCTCGATTACCTGAAAAGTGCTTTCGAGGTCACAACAATGCTCCATCCCTTTTTATCTTATCTCTACGTCTTTCAAACCTCATCCCTATCTAGATACCCAAATGTCTACTCTTCCCGTCTCCATTTATTAAGTAAACATTATGAACAAATCTGTTGTTTATCCTAGTCCTCAGATGAAAATGGAAGAACAACAAGGAATGGAAATTTAGTGTTTTCAAGTAATATTATTAAGGATTTCTGGTACGGTGGAGGAGCTTCCACGAAGAAGGGAGACAAAGGAGAGAATTAGTAGAAAACTAAGAAGAGTAGACATGGAGTATTAAAGAGATTGGAGTGATTTTGGACAAGAGCAAGTTGAGGCTCAAGGTCCCTTTAATTCAGGATTGCTCGTGGAACTAGATCAGCTTGGTGGCGTCATAATATCTCTCTTGTAATTTGATTGGGAAAAATGCATGTGCGAAGCTGAGTTTAAGTAATGTTCTAATTCAAGTCATGATTCATATTATCCCGCCAGTTTTATCCCAAGAAATTTAGTGATATCTACGAATCAGACACCAAATAATTTAAATTTTAGTTTATATGCTTGTTATGAAAACCATGTTTAAACCATAAATGGGTTTCTCATTGGCTAACATATACTTGTTGTCAAAAAAACGTTAAAATTGTATATCACTTATTCATATATCATATTTTGACAATTGATTTGATGCTACTCGGGATAGTCCTCAAGTCTATCATTTCAATTGGCATTATCATAATAGAACTTTTTTCTGGATCCTGCTAAATTGTTAATGCGGAGATGAATTAACATGTCGTCAATAAGTCAACATTTATCTCATTTGTTTTCCATACAAGTTTGACGAATTGTAATGGCCTATTCGTGGAATATGCACAACCTCGACAAATAGTACATGCACGATAAGATGGTGGAGGAGATGATAAAGACTTCCTAGGTACCAAAGTGACCGTAGGGAGCATCCTTGTGGCAAAGATGCTGCAGTACAGGGTTCATGTATCATCTATGCTGAAACGTTACTTTTGCAACAAGATAAGGGAAATCTTGTGGTGGCTTAAAGTTAAAGCATTTTTAGTGTGGGATAAGTTGATGCGAGCATGGAAGGGTTTACTAGACCATTGATATAATAATGCAAAGAAAGTGAACAACGAGTTAACTAGGTGGGATCCTGTGGTTGCAGGGTCCCTCCAAGGCCAAGAATCTTCTGAGTGGACAATGTGTGTTTTCAGTTTGCATGCAACTTTGAATGGAATGGTTTCCTTGGTTGCCTTCTGAGTTGACCATGACTCAGAGAAACGTATCAAAGTAAGACATTGGAGGAGGTAAATAAGATATTTTGTCTATTGGAAGTTTATCTTAAATTCTCTTGATAGATGCAGCTAACATGTATATCAGAACCTAAAAGAATTTAGGTTTACAGTAGAGCTTTATGAGGAGACAATAAACGAAAAAAAAAATCTTAACATCTGTCTATGGGAACGATCTTTTGCGAAAGGCAACATTTGGATCCTATAAATTATTCAAGTAAAAGTTGTTAACCAAAGGTTTACATGCGGAGATCTTTGACATAAGTACTATGTGACACGACATCAGAATCCCTGAGTTTTCTCTGTTATGTCATCAGAGTCAAATAATCTCTCTTGAATTGGTTGGCCCGTATCCAAGTAAAATTATGGAAATCCATGGGTGTCATTTTATGCATCTCACTATTTCTATCATGAAAGTGAGTTTTTTTATGAGAAAAGAGTGAATACGCTCTACAGGTGATTTTCATAGCATGTTCAAGCTATTTTGTTAAGGGAACAGTCATTTTAGCTGATTATTTTCCTGCTTTTATCCTATCTCTGCTGACTACCTCTTAGTCTGACAAGGATTTTCCAAAATAAAATTGATACTCTAACATGATATATACTTCAAAGGATAGTCTTCCTCTATTTTGAGTAGGATATCCATTTTGATGACCAAAATATGGCAATAATCGATGGTGGACATCTGTCAACACCATCCTTAACTGGGGTCTTTGACTAATTTTTGAAAGAAAGGACCATCAAATTGGCCAAAGTTTTTAAGGTCCATCTGGACTGGTCCAGTTTCAATTTCGCTGCAACCTATTTCAGCCCGGATGCAATCCGCGTATTTGTATTGTAATATCAACACCATATTTTGTTACAAAAGATATACGCTAAATATATCAAGTTGTAGTGCTTGAATTGCAGTTTACAGTATATCATACGCATACACTGCCATATACACTTATTGATGTGTGTGTGTGTGTCTGTGCACGTCGGTAAATCGGTATCCAGTATCCGTCTCTGATTCAACCCAATTTTACCCTTTTGAATTTATCTGGGCTTGGCACTTTATTCAGTTGTGCTAGCGTTTACTTTTTTTTTATTTAATTTGTGATGGCCTGAATTTGCTCAAACCCAACCCTACCTTGCTCAAGTCAGCTCACCTAATTATTTGATTTCCACATGCAACCATTATTTACATCAATCAGGTAGGGCTTGAATACTGTGGGATCTGGCTGATCCCCCTGTGTACTCTGAACTTCCGTTAGAGAATCAGATTGTCACCTGATACATACATATTCAGTGCCACCTGATAGTTTTTCATTTATGAACTTCATTTCGTTCTGCTGCTGCTCTTATATTTTTAATTTATATTACCGGTAGAAAAAACAGACAATGGCTGTGCTTGTTGGATCCAACGTAGATTTGTGAGATTAAAGCACTGAATATCACTTATTATTTCTGCAGAACGAGAAATCCAGATTTCAGACGGGGAAATATTAAGCAAGGCAGGGGGATCATGAAATCGAAGGGCTATAAACTAGTCCTGTTTTGTGTTTCAAAGGTCAACGGGATCGGTCTAGGAGAGACAGAGCGGAAGAATGTTGCTAAAAATGTTTTTGGCTGGGACAGACCAGAAATTTCACTAAGTTATAGGCCGAGTCAGACCCGACTCTCTCCGGACGTTAAATTTCATGGGCCCATTTCAGGCATGGCCCCGTCTTGTCCATGACTGACGGCGCGAGCAGATGCTCTCTGCAACCGTTGTTCTTAGACGTCATTGAAATCTTCTCAGGCGTGCCTCCGAGTTTCAGAGAGCTACTCACCGAATGCTCAACTCAAATTGGTAATATCTACAGTTTATTCCTCTGCATTTCCCTTTTGATATCCGTATTAAAGTAAATCGATGATTCTGGGCTCCTCTAAGTGGTCTATTACTTTTGCAAACTGTTACCTAGAGAAACCGAGGAAATGGGACTCTTTGGAAGGGTTGACTAAATGTACCTTGGTTTGGGATTCGAGATCAGCCTCTCCACCACCATTAGCTGCTCTAGGCTGGTCAGGAAGTAGTCGATGGAAACATGATGCTGAGAACTTTGATAACATGATTTGGCTTGGGCCGATTTTGATTTATAAGATAAAATATAAATTTTAATATGTCAATTATCTATTTTTTATAAATAAATTATATCCAAAAAAATATGTTTTTTGTAAATGTCTAATAGACCTAATCTTATTTTAAAAATTCAAATATATTCATTAAATCTTTCTCACAACCTTTTTATTCTCTAATAATTTATACTTGTCAAAAAATATTCACATCCACCGTGAGAAGAATAGACATATGCTTTTTAAAATGTAAGTTTCTTGTAATGGACTTCATGCATATACCTAATAATATCTTTCACCATAACAAGTGTACTCCCAATGTTGGTAATATAATATATTTCATCATCAACTATACATAATGTGTATGTTAACATTTTGATTAAGTTTTGATGATTATTTATTATCATGAATTAATAATTAATTAATAATATATTGTAAGTCTTAACTCATGATAAATTGACTTATATTATGTTAAATTATAAAAAATGATTTTAATTAGTTAATATACTTTTTAAATTAATAATGTGATTTTATATACTTTTTATAATCATGTGTTTTGAGATAAATACAGATAAATAAATAAAAATATAAAAAACGGGGGGAGGGGCTCGTCTACCAATTGGGCTCACAAGCGGGTTGGAGACACAATTAAGTGGAACCATGAGTAAGGGGCTTGAGCAACTAAGGATTAATAGAGGACACATGTGCATCATCTACTTCCAGATCATCATTGGCTAATCAAGCTTTGAGCAAAGAATGGTCGTACACACGTGAGAGAGAGACATATTGATCACATAATCTTATATTACTATACATGTGTCTATAAATTAAAAAAATAATTAATGTGAGACTAAATCAGTATCAAAGCTTCCCAAAAGGTTTTTAATAATTTTAATACCTAAATTATTCTTTGTTTATGAGAAAAAGATATCCTTATGATGTCACTTTATAAAGATATCCGCATACTTATTTTACTCTCTCTCATATAAGTGGATGGTCAATGAGGATTTTAATCTCACCAAAGCCAAAACTTATATTTAAATGGTATGGCCCAATAGATCGAGATTGGACCTGAACGAGTCGCCCAGATTGTCCAATAGGTGTACCTGGACTTTTTTACTGACCAGAGGGAAATCGGGGTTCGCGAACATTCGCGGTCCCGTTGCACTTATTTTCCTTCGAGGTGAGGGGATCACGGGAGAGATACAAAGAGCTTAGCTGCAAGTAGCGGGTGGCTGGAAGCCGTTGCGATGGAAGCCCTTCTGTCCGCCGCCCCTACTCTGCTTCGCTCCTCCGCACCTAAGCCCACTTTAAGGTTCCTCTCCTCCTCCTCCCCACTGTTCTCAGTTGAAAGGAGCAGGAGAGCTGCTTGGAGGAGCACCGGGAGGGCTTCCCTCCGCCGTGTTGCCGTGTCTGCGGCATCTCAGCCATCCGAAGCGGCCTCCACCGCCACCGTCGAGGCCTCCGTGCCGGCCACCATGAAGGCCTGGGTCTACGGCGACTACGGGGATGTGGACGTGCTGAGATTCGACGAGAGCGTGCCGGTCCCGGAGGTGGCGGAGGACCAGGTTCTCGTCAAGGTGGTGGCCGCCGCGCTCAACCCCGTCGACTTCAAGCGTCGCCAAGGCAAATTCAAGGCGACAGATTCTCCCCTCCCCGTGAGTCTCTATTCGATCCTTGTTCCATTCCCGATCCGGTTCCCCTCTCGAATCTGCAGAGCTTTCCCTCATATGATGATAAATCTTCATAGTGTTGATCTTGGTGTCCTGATTATATGTTTTCCTCATTGATAGTTTTCTTTGAGCGAGGAGGACTGCGAGTGGAACAATCTTCTTCTTTTTCTGCTGTTGCTTGATTTTCTTCTCAGATAGGTCATCGTGAGGCCTGATTCCCTCGATCTTTGCAGACTGTCCCAGGTTATGATGTGGCGGGCATAGTGGTGAAGGTGGGAAGCCAGGTGAAGAGTTTCAAGGAAGGGGATGAAGTGTACGGAGACATCAACGAGAAGGCTCTGGAGAACCCTAAGCAATCCGGGTCGCTCGCAGAATATACAGCAGTGGAAGAGAAGCTCTTGGCTCTGAAACCCAAGAACATAGACTTCGTCCAGGCAGCCGGATTTCCCCTCGCCCTCGAGACGGCCTACGAGGGCCTTGAGAAGGCCGGGTTCTCCTCCGGCAAGTCCGTCCTCGTCTTGGGCGGGGCCGGCGGAGTTGGGTCCCTCGTGATTCAGGTGAACTATCTATATTGGTCCCCGGAGGATCTTTTTTTTGAGAATCATAGTTTTCTGGTCTTTCCTCTTTGTTCAGTGGCTCTAGTCTCTGGTTGATCCAAGGACTCTCTCTCCTCCTCTTTTTCTTCCTCTTCCCGAGTCGAATTCAGCTGGCGAAGAACGTCTACGGCTCCTCGAGAGTCGCTGCGACCTCCAGTACCGGTAAATTGGAACTTCTGAAGAGCTTGGGGGCTGACTTGGCGATCGACTACACCAAGGAGAACTTCGAAGAACTGCCTGAGAAATTCGACGTCGTCTACGACACCGTCGGTATGCTCCACCTGGTTATTTTCTCTATTCCGAGTAATATTATCCATCTTGATCAACGGAGCTGACAGACCGCGGTGATGGGCGCTGCTAACAGGGCAGGGAGAGAAGGCGGCGAAGGCGGTGAAAGAAGGCGGCAGCGTGGTATGCCTGACCGGCGCCGTCGTCCCCCCGGGCTTCCGGTTCGTCGTCACCTCCAACGGGGAGGCGTTGGCGAAGTTGAACCCCTACATAGAGGACGGGAAAGTGAAGCCTCTCGTTGACCCAAAGAGCCCCTTCCCTTTCTCTCAGGTGGTGGAGGCCTTCACCTATCTCGAGACCGGGAGGGCCACGGGGAAGGTCGTCATCCACCCCATCTCCTGAGGCGAAACCCTTGATCAGTTTTCCGTCCTCTGTGACGACCCAAGTAATCTTGCCCTGTAAGAATCAAAAGAGGGAGACTTCTTGATAGCAAAGAATCGGAGGCAGAGCGGAAGCAAAGTATCTCTCTAATCGCCGTCTTCCCTCTTTCCCCTCTCCCCCATTGTCTCGGCACAGCAAATGGCGAGCTCTTCGCACCTCATCGCCCTCTTTGTCAAGCTGGCCGCCGCCTCCGTCACCGGCGCGATGGCCCTCCTCGCCTTCCGGCGCCACCTCCGCGACGAGGCCCTCTCAGCCCTCCGCCGCGACATCCGCATATCCCTCCTGCGCATGCGTGCCGACGTGCCGGAGGGCGGCACAGGCTGCCGTGCCGCCCCCGCGGCCGTCGTGCTAGGCTTCCCCTCCCACGGCAAGAGCTCCTTCGTGAACACCGCCTGGCGGGCCCTCGCCGGAGAAGAAGGGCCCTTCCTGGCCCGCGCCGAGACGGGGCCATCGTCCCCTGTAATCTCTGCCCGGCGCGTCTTCCGCGTGGCGGTGGTGGACCCAGACGCCGGCTGGCTCAGTACAATCAGGGAAGGGGAGAGGGAAGCGGACGACAATGGGGCGGCGGCTCTGGACCTGGTGGACTCGCCGGGCTTGCCTGAGGCCGAGAAGCTGACGCGCGCCGACGTGGAAGCGGCACTCTCTCTCGCGAGCCCCTCGCCGGAGTGCATCCTTCTGGTTCTGCGCTGCTCAGGCCCGCAGAGGACCAACCTCAGGAGGCTGCAGGACATAGCCGCCGTCATCCGAGAACGAGGTGAACGCGCCGGTTCTCTCTCTTCTCCTTCTCAATCTCAATCTTACCATGGATGAGCAGATCGACCTCACTGTGAGTGGCCCCGGGTTAGGGCTCCACCTGGTGGTGGTGTTGACCCATAGGAACTCTCTGAGGAGTGCAAAGCAGTCGGAGGAGCTGAGGAGGGAGGTCGCCCTTCGCGCGAAGACGGACAGCGTGTACCTGATCGAGAACTATACGGCCACCGCCTTCAAGGACAGCTTCAGCACCCACTGCAATGCCCTGGCTGTCATCAGGCAGTGCGTCGAATTCGCCGCCATGCACCGGCAGCACCGCGCCTCCGCCGCCCAGAAATCGTCGCCACCGTCGACCCTCGGAGCCCAGAAATCGGTCTTCGAATGAGACAACGGCTGCGGATTACATGTTTGTGATATTCCCGTTACCTTTTCTTCTTCTCCTTGTTTAGAACGTTCCAAAAAAAAACCCTGGGTTTTGCATTTTTCTCCAAAAAATGGCTCTCGTTGACTGAGATCTCGACGGGCCGGGCCTGTACGAGCACTGTCAAGCCCAGTGGAGCCCGAAATATAATTACAGTCCCTGGCCTCGGGGCCTAGACCCACTATGGCTGAATTATTATTTTTCTGGGCCCAAAACTTTTGAGCGTATATTTTGAAGACCAAGCCCGACAACTGAGGGGCCCGACCAGAGTCGTCCCCAAGAGGCCCAGTTGCAAGGCCCATGACCGCCACATTCCACATTCTGGCCCCCCCTGCCTATCCGGGCGTCCCACATCCTGCCACCTGACAGGATTAGCCAAGCCCATATGCTACTTTTCGATGCGCACCCAAAGAGTGCGTACACTAGCTAGTGAGCAACCTTCAGCTGTTTCCGTTCTCACCTCTCTCGACAAAGGCGCATGCGTGGATACGCACCGGACTAGTTGGATTGAGAGTTCAATGGTGGGCCCCACATAACTGTCACTCGCCTAAGGTGAGTGGTGGCGGTCGCTTGGGCCAGGGGAAGAAGTCACTAGAGAACCAGAGAAGCTGCGAGAGACTGATTGGCAGTTCTCCGCCACATCGCTGGTGCTGCAGCTGGGTGTGGGCGAGGATGGCCTCCGCAGCTACGGGCGCATCCGCGCTATCCCCTCTCTTCTCCAGCTCCAGATCGAGGATTCCGTCTTCCTCACAGCAGCTCCTCGCCATTAGAAGGCTGTCCTCCGCCTCTGCCATAGCCACGCCCCTGATTGTCGCTCTCCACTCCAGATCCGCTGGTCTCCGCTCCACAACATCTCCTGTCCTCGTCCGCTGCGTCGGTGGTGGTGCTCGCACCAAGGGTACCTTCATCGGGTCTAAGACGCAGTCGCTCGTCTTGAACGGTGCCCTGGTTTCGTCTGCTGTGAACTCCCTCTTCGCATTGGCTGCCTCCCTCGCCATCTCCCTTTCTGTATTCGTCGTGGACGTCGGTGCTGCCTCGGGTTTTGTGACCAGCGCCCCCCGGAAGCTTCAGACTGACGAGCTCGCAACTGTACGCCTATTCGAGAATAATACTCCTTCTGTCGTCTACATCACCAACCTTGCCGTCCGGTGCGCAGCCTACTTGCTAGTGGGTATGAATTTCTAGGTTCTTGCTGTGGTTTTACTGGTATGATGGAAAATGTTCGATCTATGATTTGCAGGCAAGACGCATTCACTCTTGATGTGCTGGAGGTGCCACAAGGTTCGGGGTCCGGGTTCGTGTGGGACAAGGAAGGCCATATAGTCACCAATTATCATGTCATCCGTGGGGCGTCCGACCTCAGGTTGGTTTGCGTTCTTCTTTTTTCTCAACAGTGTAGGCTTCATGTTTTCTGTGTTCTCTAATGTTCAATGTCTATAATGGTTTCCTTGGTCAAATTAATGGACTCTTTAGCTGCATCTTCTACCTAATGAGTATCCATTGGTAATGATAGAAAATTCAAGGGTACTTGGTGTTCCAAATGGATAAAGCAAAATCTGTCTGGGCCCATGGGTCAAACGTTTCTTCACGTTTGATGGATATTTTGGGGGTTTATCTGTCTTTTCATTCTTGGACAGAAATGTGGCCTCTAGGAGCAGGGAAAACGTGGAAACCTGGCTTTCCTATCTCTCTGAAAGTTTTTCAAGAATAAAATTGAGATAAATGGGGACAGCGTGAAATCAAAACTATTGATTCCAAGCAAGTGTAGGAATTTTTTCTAAAGTTATGTTGATATCTTACAGAAAATAAGAAGAGCAAAAGGCCTGAATTTATTGGAAACATTCAAGTAGATGAGGAATTGCGTGACTACGTGAAAGTAGTAGCTTTTACTGTAGAGCTTGAACCTGTTGTAAACGTTTTCCGCTGTCAGATCTCTTTTCTTTTGTTGAACTTCCCGTACCTCCTCTGGATTGAGTTACCATTCTCCCCGCTTACATAAGCTGATGTCTACTGTGCTTGATGTAGTACGACGCTCATGCATTGTGCTATTGTATATTTTTCGTTTAGTCTTTTACTTCATGATAAAATATTTTACTCTCATGGTAACCTTTTGCAATCAAATTGATGCCAGACTTGCTAGCTTTATACAGGGTCACTCTTGCTGACCAATCAACATACGAAGCAAATGTTGTCGGATTTGACCAAGACAAAGATGTTGCTGTACTTCGCATTGATGCTCCGGAAGAAAAATTGAGACCTATACCGATTGGTGTCTCTGCAGACCTTCTTGTTGGTCAGAAAGTATTTGCCATTGGAAATCCTGTGAGTAGTACCCATTTCTTCTGCGAATTATACACGAATATTTAATAGAAACGATTTGAATCTCTTATGTTTGCCACTCATCAACATGTAACATGCATCTGAGTTCCTCGTGTGTTTTTCCATTCAATGTTTGAGTTGCACATATCAGATTTTTTTTTTCTATTCCTGGCAAAACGTGCACAAGCTTTGATTTTGCTGGAAGGTCATGCATCTCTCCATCATAAGACGTTGTGTCCGTGTTTGTGTTCTTCATGTTGTTATCTTCCCATCATTACAATGTGTTCTTGTGTTCTTCCAGGGCTTATTTGAGAAAAGTTCTATGCGCCTGATTACATGATGAACTAGCTAGCAATTTTTTTAGTAATAGGATGATAACAAGCTCACTTTTCCCTATGTTTCTTTGGATAAGTTGCATGTTCATTTCTAAATTGTTGATATCCTACAATATGCACGTACAATTCCGGGTTCATGTCGGGGTGTAAATGCGTGTTCTAGCTATACAGTGTTTAACTAAGTCAAATTTCAATCTTGACCAAAGACAGTTATGACCATTGTAGGCTAGTTCCACTGAAGCTTTATTTGCGGTTTCTGTGCCACCTATGCTCAAGTTCATCGTTAGTCATTTTTGTAACTTGAAGAATTTCACTAGTTAAAAGATAGAGCGTACAGATTTCGTCTGTGAATCACCACATACTTGTTTGTTATATGGAAAAAAAATCATCTCATGCTTGCAATCTTTGTGTACATTTTGCAGTTTGGTCTTGACCATACACTCACTACTGGTGTTATCAGGTAAACACGATTTTACACCAGAATTTCTTGTTCTCTAATCTTTTCACTTTATTAATAAATAACGCAAGGTTAACCATATGTTTTCTAGACAGTACACTATAACTATCATTCTGATTCCTTATTATGCTTTTTCAAGAGGGCGGCTACTTCCGTAAACCCGACTTTTTATAAGGATTCCGATTGACACCATGAACCTGATCAATGTTTCTTCGGTGTTCTCCAGTGGGCTGCGGAGAGAGATCAGTTCTGCCGCTACAGGACGACCGATACAGGATGTGATTCAGACTGATGCAGCTATAAATCCTGGAAACAGTGGGGGGCCACTTCTCGATAGTTCTGGAAGTTTAATTGGAATAAACACGGCTATATATTCCCCTTCTGGAGCCTCCTCGGGCGTCGGCTTTGCAATTCCAGTTGACACAGTGCGTCCTGGGGCTGCCACCTCTTCGCACAATTTCTTTACCCATGTTTTAATAAAAACCATTAACCTTGACCCATTTCTTTTCCCTGCTTCCTCAGGTCGATGGAATCGTTGAACAGTTGGTCAAATTTGGCAAAGTGACAAGGCCTATTCTAGGGATTAAATTCGCTCCGGACCAATCTGTGGAGCAGCTCGGGGTTAGCGGGGTCCTGGTCCTCGATGCACCTGCAAATGGTCCTGCTGGCAAAGCGGCAAGTTTTCCTCTTGCTCCTCCCTCATCTGTGGCAAATTTATTTCTATGTTTCATTGATAGAGGTTTTCTGACCATGCTTCCTTCACAGAATCTTTTCCTCACAGAGTCTCTCATTTCTAGTAATAAACAACACCCAACCCTCAATGGAGTAGAAGCCGCCCCTAAGTAGTTCCGTACCATCAGCATCCTTTCCTTACTGGGTTAGGCCGCTGATAGATCGATCCCAGTGCCTCCCTTCTGTGCTGATAACGCTCCCCATTTCCTTCCGCTATCATCGGCTTCTGGATTCTGCTGCTTCCTCTATTCACTGCTATTCCAAAGCTTGATTATAATCTTTTTCTTCACAAGAAAATATCTCGCATTTCTTAATGCAGCCGAAGCCGGCCTAAATATTTCCACACCGGGTAAGACCGCTGATAGATTGACCTCAATGATGCGAACCAGGGCTTGCAACCGACCAAGAGGGACGCCTACGGCCGGCTTATCTTGGGCGACATCATAACCTCCGTCAACGGCAAGAAGGTCGCCAATGGCAGCGACCTCTACAGGATCCTCGACCAGTGCAAAGTCGGCGAGACGGTATGGCCCATCTCTTCCTCTGTCATGTCCTCAGTGCCCTACATTTTAATTTACTCGGCCAAACCAAACCAAACCAAACCATCCGCCATGGCGGTAGCCCTCTCGTCCATCTAATGGCTAGTCTCTCGGTATCTTCTGGTGTGGTAAATGACAGTCCATCTGCTGCATTTCTTTCTTCCTGAAAAAGGTGACGGTAGAGGTCCTGCGCGGGGACCAGATGGAGAAGATCCCCGTGGTTCTTGAGCCGAAGGCCGACGAGACGTGATTTGATGCAGGCGGCGGCGGGGAGGAGGATTCCCTGCGTACTTACGGTGCGGCATGGGAAGCGTACCCCGTGGGCTGGTGGCTCGATTCTTATGTCTGTATATATCGTTCTCTCACACAGATATACATTGAGATTCAGGTAGAGCAGCTTCGCCGTTTCCTCAGCTATTCCCCACCGCGAGAGAGAGAGAGAGAGAGAGAGAGAGAGAGAGAGAGAGAGAGAGATCAGGCTGTTGAACTGAAGAATTATCTAAAAATAAGTTTTCTAGTCAGGAGCCGGTTAATAATCCTGGGATTTCTAATAAGATTATTCAATATGAAAATATAGAATGGATACTAATGCGTAAATGTACACCAAGGGAAAGGCTGATCTCGGGTACTCGAAATAGTCTCGGGCTGTCGGAGATCAGGTAGAAACTGCATAAAAGCCCTACACACACTCTGCAATAAGTATTTAGACTCCAAATTTACCTTTTTTTAAAAACTTATTGTAGCGGCGCAGACACTCCTCTCAACAGAAACAAACGCACACTGGAACCCACGATCGCGAAGTCAACTCAATCGCGTGGAAGTCGAAGCGCTGGCATGGCAAAAAAAAAAGTGACAGTTACTCATCGGATGGTTGGACGGATCCAACCAGAATTCCACAACACGCAGTTCCCCACCATAGAAAGTGAAGGGGGCGGGCGGCATTTACACTCAACTCTTCAACGCACGCAGAATGTACAGACTCAAGAATACTAACTCCAACCCAAGGAAGTACCTCCAGAGCTGCAGAAATCCCATCATTCTGGCGTCGTACACTGGGGAAAGGAAGATCGAGCAGCTTGGAGGCCATCTCTTTGCTGGCTGGCTACTTGGGGGCCAGCGTGATGGGGCAGATGGCAAATGCGATGCGCCGAGCAGCAAATGCCAACATGAAGCGCTCATCTTCGGTCAATGGTCTCTCAATTACCTTGATAACTGTCGGGTCCTGCAGAATGATCGGAAATTGGAAATTTTAATTCAAGGATTTTGATGGGCAGAGCGGTACAAATCAGGAGATAAAATCCATAGACATTTTTTCTTTCTAGTTCGAATGTGTCATATTCTCAGGAACAAGATGTCACCGACAAGGCTTTGAGGCGCTTCTCTGGGTCTGGGTCTGCCAGAAACTAATAAACATCTCCCTCGTCATACATCAAAATGATCTCATTGATTTTCCGTATAAAGAATACAATTATAGAAGAATAAAAAAAGACCTTATTTTACACCCGAGAAACGAGTAGTGCGCAGCGGGTAATCCCATTTCAGATATTGCCTGTTCGCCATCAGTCTCCTTGAATTTAGTTTGTCAACTTGTTTTTTTACTGGCATGTTCGTGATGGCTTAGAAACTTCAAATAAGGAGTCAAGAGGGCTCACTGAATACGAATTTCATCCAAAGCGAAAGGCCATCAGAAATGATCCCCGTCATGTACATCAATTTTTCATCTCAAGTATAGCTCACTTTTTCACACAATTCATCTGATCTTTAATTTATTCCAGTGCGCAGGAGCAAATATAACTAAGACCGTAAAAAGGTATAAACTGGAGAGACAATGCAGGAGACATAATTCTTCCGTTTTCCACCTAAAACGTTTATTAAAAAATCATTGATAATCTCGAGAAAGATTATGATGAACTATATGTCCTTCATTTGAATCAATTTTAGCCATCGGGTTACAGCTCAGGCCAAGGAGGTCCGGCTAAGTAGATTATAAGCGAAGGCAAAATTCAAGGTCTAGTCTAGAAAAACAAGAAAATGAAAGGCAAGAGGGACGATGCTTACCTTGATGTGCTGCTGAGCAGTACCAAAGAACCTTATGCGAGCAGTATCGCCAATTCGAATCACATTGTTAATATTTCCCCCTTGATCAGTTTCCGTTGGTAATGATGTTGAGTGTCTCCACTGCCCACCAACAATAAACTTGTAGCCATACCTGGGGATGGATGGCAAAACAATTTAGAAGAGTTTGAGGACCAAATCTCGAAATGACATTCTCATCGAGTTTATAATTCAACATTCTAAGAAATTATTCACTTGTAATTAGCAACCCGGATATGGATTGGGTTAATGATTCTTAAATATTTAGGCGATGAGTTGTGGCAACAAGGCTATAGATTGTCCGACGATTGGAGATGATTTGCGGATCAGAATGATCGTATGAAGGCTCTTCATGTGGCTATTTTGCTATCTTGCATGACTGATTGTGTGGTAGCTCCTCATAGGAGATGGCAAAGAACGCACTAACACATTGTGGATCATGCAATGTTGTTCAATACTCCACAAAATTGATTTCCAAACAAGCTCTGTTCATCTTACACGCGTGAGAAATTTACCCAAAGATACCAACCAAGAATGTATCTGCTAATAATACATATGGAAACAAAACACAGAGAACAAAAACATGTTTTAGTGCTCGTCAATGCCTACTTTTGGCCGAGGAGCCCTTCTACTGTTGGCAAGGCAGAAAGCCAACAGATGTGTCATAGGCAATAACATTGATAGCAGGAAAGAAGGATTTGAGACTGTTAAGAAATGAGACATACTTTCCATGACGAAGCCTAATGTCTGCCTCATATCTCAATCCACCTTTATGGGCCAGTCTCATAGATTCTTTCCAATTTCCGGTGAAATCTCCAATCAAGTGCACCTCCTCACCCTGAAACATCCAAGAAGGTAGAATGCTGTCATGATTATGGCCATCCTCCCCGCTACTTTTCCATATGGTTTTGCCACTAGCCCAGTTAGCAGAAGAAAGGATGCGTTAATGATTCAGTTTTCACTACGGCTACGTTATCAGGAAATGTGTGCACCTGGCCATCTAGAACATGAACCTACCAAAAAAGTGATTGATGATAAGGATTCCTCAATGTATGGATCATTTTTACCTCTTGACACCCATGGGTCCAGACAAAACTCACAACATGTGTAGGTGGTCCATCATGCTTTCCACTTTCTACCATAGCAATAAGATCCCAGGTTGCCCAGACTATTGCTGCCCTGCATCAAGTCATCCATCAAAACACTGTACACCTCTGGCATTTGAAAAGGTAATAGTCACACAAAACCTTTCTTGGATGTATTGTAGGGAAAATTTTAGAATGATTCCTGATAACGTGATATATAGCAGGGAAATGAACAGCGACTTCACTTTTACCTCAATTAGTCGCCAAGGGAACAGGTTTATGGTACAATGGTGCAATCCAGTAGGGGTGCTCGCAAGTATCAGAGAATAAACATGTAAACTAATCACTGTCTTAATCTACGAAAGCCATAAAATATTTTATAAAAAACAAGCACTTTAAGAGATAAGAGAAGGAGGAAGGCACAAAAATTAACATTCAAGGGAAGGTTAAAATTAACAGAATCAAAACCAACATCTAGACGAAATAATACGATATAATGCACCAGAAGAACCGAGAATATTCACAAGTGCAAATAGAAACTGTGACGAGGGAAGAAGGTAGTTTTGATGATTTTCAAGAGTAAATAAGATTAAGATAAAAAATAAGAGTTTCTGAAGATTTTTTTTAAAGCACGTTATTTTCTCCCCATATTAAATTTAATTAAGATTACTCAATGCACAGTTTCAAGAGAAACTGTGATTCTCTTTCACCAGTCCAAATCGTCTGGTCATCCTCAAAAATCCTGACAAACGTATGGTAAATACTAATATTCTGAATGGAAGTGATTTCATCTGATGATTATTTTTTACGTTAGAATTGAGCAATAGAGGTTTGGATGTCCACGTACCTGTCAGGCCTGCAAGAGTGCAAGCCAGTGACAAAATTATGTGCAGCATGAAGAGCAGTATCTTGAATCCAATGTAAGTATGCAATCACACATGCCGGAGATCTTTCAAATCCAGTTGTACACGTCAGAAAAACCCTAAAGTTCTTCCTGAGAAGTCGGAGGAGGAGCCCAACACAGAAGGGAAGTTTTTTTCTCAAGTCCATTGAATCCACCTCCCTGAAAGGCAAATGCTTGCACAGTAAAATATCTTTTCGTGGATATGGACTACAAGATGTGATCAGTTTTATGGCAACATAAAATAATTTTAGAGGACAGCAAATAAGTAGGTAACATTATTTTATAGTTATTCACGAATTCTTAGAATGGGGTGATAAAGTAAAACAATACAGTTGATAAGATGAAAAACATGTATTCACATGAAATGTTCATAAATTTCAAATCTCAAGTGCAAAAACCATGTTCTACCAATGCACATAATCCAAGAAGGGCAAGTCAGTGAGCATGAATAACTGACATGAAAATAGCATATCAAACGGAAAGATTAAGGCCATTACCTTATTGGGTAGTTAACCATGAGAATGTTATGACGACGGCAAGCATCATTAATTGATTCAGAATTTATTCCCCAATTGGCACGTTCACTTTCGCTTTGGAAATTTAGGACAGCGGTAATGCCCTGTGAGAGACCGTGTGTTAGACACTAAGCAGACAGAACGCATAGACAACACCACATGTATTCGTGGCCTGTGATAAAAATTACAATAACTCTAGATGTAGAACCTGGAAAGACATGGATGCATAGGTGATATATGAGAACATCCATCTAGGGATGCAATTGAAGAATCTTATTTGAGATGCATAACATTGAACACGACTCGACACGGAGAATATAATTAATCATAAGACACTTTAATGCACAGTCAAATTCTCAAACAGAATCCTCCTGTAATCAATCAGGTGTAGCCCTTATCAATGATGATTCAGAAAACAGAAGGATGTGTAAATATGATTTCAATGGTTCTTCTCGTGGAGATCATGTATTCAGAGCTCGCAACAAACTGAGTAAAAAATAAAATTAAAATTAAAATTAAACTAGAAGTTAAAAATAAATGTCTTCTTTGTCCCATGCACCTTGACCTCTGGATGAACAGTGGGAGCATTCAAATAGTGTGTAAAGTTAATATCTATTATTGATCTTCAGTACCAGGGACCAAATATATTCACACCCAATGGAATTTATTTTTTTAACGTTTTCCCTTGAATCACGTTGATAAGTGGAGAATACTTTCCCTTGCCTTCATTATCACTAAGTTTTGATAATCAGAGGCCTCCTTATAATCACTTTCATGGCAATCTGATAGTCAGAGATCTCTTTCATGGATGATCAGTGTGATTGCTAATTGTGAAGACGAAGATCGTTCGTAAGGCATTGACATAAGTCTAGAGGGGACATGAAATTCTGACAAAGCATAGCAACCATGACTTTTGGAATTAACCAAGGGCTTGGTAGAGGGCAGGAATATAAAAAGTATAAGAATGTGGTTAGCAAGGACAGTTGATTAGAGGAGACTGAAATCATTAATGAGAAGGATATCTGAGAAAAAGCCACAACAAAGACAGAAATCTTCAGATTAGGATGCCACGTAGAGTCATCATTTACAATATAATATCAACTTGTTCAGACATATATTTTCGTATACCATTTTTTTTCAAATTTATATATGCCAAAAGAAAATAGTTTTTACTCTCAAAGTTTAAACTTGTCTAATTTTTTTAAATTTTAAAAAATATTTTATTTCCCACACGAGATATTGTGACTGGGAAGTAGAAAAAGAAAGAAATTTGAAAAATACATCACGTCGGTTAATACATCTCCTAGCTACCCAATGGTTTGTTTGCAGTACGATTCTTCAAGATCCACTCAGCTTCGCAACCAGCTATAACAGACCATTTTTTTTATTTGGATTTTCCAGATCTCCACTACCTGGTCATTTTACAGGTTGAGACAACAATGGTATGTATGTTGCACCATACCCTTAAGGGAAATCATGCATGAATTACTCACCAAACTGCGAATTATTATGTTCACTGAATAACATTTTATCGTCCTCCACTTGCAGAAAGTTCTATGCTAAAAAAATGGATGGTCATTCATTCAGATTATTTAGAAACAACATTCCAAGCATAATTGGACAGCACCTGAACAAAGTTATTAGATTAATTACTTTCAACATTCATAGGGATTACACATAGAAAGAAGTACATTATTGCAGATGCACTCCAGCATAAACAGGTGCTGCAATGCTAAGTCTAAGAAAAACATTCTTCTTTCAACTCCAGAATATCTATAACTTAAGTCCTTTTTTCAGTAGAGGTTTCTAGATGGAACTTTAAACATTAGATAACTCAAAAGAGAAACAGCAACAAGTGAAACGGTGGCAACTGGAAAATGAGCTACCCAACATCTGAATGCAAGCATACTAGGTTATGGGAACTGTGCGTACCACCACACTTCCCAAAGTTCGCACATCAGCTTCAGTTTGTATACACGACCCAATATATATTTGCTCAGTTATCTGCAAAAAGAGCGAAAATGGGGTAAATAATATGAAAAATCGCCACGCTAGTAGAATGTACCGCAGTATTACTAAAAAAATATTAAATTTAATCGACATAAAGAAATGAACACAGAAAAAAATAAATGCCTTGTACCATGAGAAATATATCAAATTTTTTTATCGAATGGCTTCATGCTGTCAATTCCAGCACAACCTTTGTTAACAGAAAGATGCTAGTTATCAGTTGGTCTTTTTGAATATCATAGAAGAATTGGATTCATTGTTTAATAACGTTTGTCGAACTGTCTATATTTGAACAAAATATCAAAATGGCTAGCCACAAAAAAACTCGCAACAGAAACAAGAATATTCAAAAGTATTTCATAACGATTCAGTAACTGGAGAGCATTATATGAAAAAATGATATTTGAAATATACATACTAAAAATGCTCATGAAAAACGGCATGATAATATAAACTTGAGAAAATGCATCACTATGCATTTACCTTACTGTATTGCATGCCAAGCGAATGGTTGTAATATAATTCTCCTTTGGAACGATCGAGTGCTTTCAAATATTCCTCCAGTGGGAAACTCCCAAAGGACCATTCAGCATCTACAAACTCTCCCTCAGAAAATATACCAATAAGTTCGCTCTTGTGCTTAGAGACAAAACCGGAGTTGTTTGGATCTTGGACATCAGAAAGTCCACGTTGTTCTCCAGACAGAAGTTCCCATCCTTGCGGTTGCAGGAGTTTTGGAGAGAAAATGACAAAACCAGGATTTCCATTACCTTCAGATAATGGTCGGCTACCAGTTCCATACAGTGCTGAATTCCAAGAAGTTATAGGCACTCGACCCTTATTGAATATAATGTCATAGTCTCCCAGAAGACAGAGTTGCTGAATGGGAAAAGGAGAGGACGGTCTTTCAAGCACCAAGCTAAAAGATCCAGTCGTCGCCTTTAGTACTTTCCTGGACATGTTTTGAAGAAAGTAAGAAAACTCCACAGGAATAGTAAGCTAGGAACTATGATTACACTGATTGTTGATTAGATGGACACTTCAAGAAAATACGTTGGTCCCATGACCACAGGCGAGTCAAACCTTTACTGAAAAGGAAACTTGGTTTTTCATAAATTACCGTCCGTGGGGTATCTTGATGAGTATTGCATCAGGACTTTGAAGTGCAAGGTTAACTTACAGTGTACTGCATGTTGTGACTCATGGTGCATGGCTCTAACCAATTTAAGTCATGGACAAGACCATTTTGAGTCGTCTTTGAAGAACGGTATATAAGAGGCAGAATCTTATGTAGATTGAGGGTTGGAACCTTCAAAAGCCTACCTGACATCCGTGAGTTGGACTTAGTCAGCACACCCTGGTTCCCAGTTCCTTCTCTCAAAAGCAACAAGGTATCAATCACGAAAAAACGAGGGCCTAGAAAAAAATTTTCAACAATTTGTTGAAACGAATATTTTTAAGCATAATAAACTAGCCGAAGTCTCCAGGTCTGTGGACCAGACGGTTTGTCTTTTCCTCTGTCTCTAGGGTTCCTTTCTTTTTCCATTTTAAGATGGTGTGAAGAAATCTTTTCCTTAGAGGTTATAACAACAGAAAAACTCCCGGATTTTTTCTTGTGAATCCTATTCAGCCATAAAAAAGGTGAATAACTACTGAAAACAAAGCAACCCAACCTTGAAAATAGCGACTCCAATATCTGGTATAAAGGGAAACAAGCATTGTGCCTGAGATATTTCCGTATGTACTGAATGACTGAGATATTTCCATAGAATAATTTAAAGCGAATGAAATATACTATGCATACAGCTGTATATGACGCAACCAAAAATAAAGAATAAAAATCATAATAAAATCAACTAAAAATGGAATCTCAGCAAAGTATAAATTTAAACAGGATACTTTTTACGTTATTGAAAAAAAATATTAGCAAAAGTTGGGCAATTTTCATACTGTGCATCAGCGAGGTCCTTGATTTCAACAAACCCACCACCTGAGACATTACTTGCCTTTTTCAAGGTGTCTCCCACCATGATTATTCTTGACATTTCCGCATTGCCCTGGCAAGGACCACAGAACGAATAGAAAGATACAATCAAGAAGAATCACAAGAATCCTGATTATTGCCAAAATTTTTGAACGCAGTTGTATTAAACGAACATATACGCCAGGTACCTTTAAGTTGCACGAAAAAAAATCGACCTATGCGCAGTAACACTACGATTACAAAATCTTAAGGCACGTTCGGGGCATGCCACGGTGAATTGCGATACAGGCTGCCTCTACAACGTCAAAGTAGAGCATACACACACACACACACAAAAGAAGACTTGGCGAGTGGAACGAGAGGAACGAGTTATTTCTCATCAATGCAAATGTGATGGATTACCCCTTTCTTTAGCGAGTGGACCAATATCTTTCCATCCACAGAAAGCGCGAAACGGATGCCCAGCGGCTTATCGAGTGTCACCATGTACTCATTAAAATTCATCTTGCGTATGGGGTCGGCCATTGCAAGAACCTTTCCGATCTTTCGGCCGGAGCAACCAGTCCATCCGGCTCCCACCCCGGGGATTCTCCCGCCGCAGAAGCCAAGACCCCAGCCCTGCAGCGAGGAGGGCAGAGAACAAGATCGAACAGCAGCGGTAGAAGGGAGGAGCACAGCCGAAAGAGGAGAGTGAGAGAGGGACCGGAGGGAGGAATACTGGAGAGACATGGATCCGACCTCGTTGGAGCCCGAACACGGGAAGAGGAAGGGGAGGAGCAAGAGAATGATGGAAGTAAAGGAGGATGTGGAGGAGATCTCTTCATGCTGGCCGGGGTATCATCCTCCCTCTCCCTTCTTCCTCTTTCTTCGTTTGTATCTATTCGTTCGTTTTCACGAACGTTTCTTGGCTTGCTTTTTCCCGCAATTGGATCAGGATGCCGTTGGAACGAGCTGGGCGGAGACGGCAAGGGGTGGCCCGAGCTGGAAAAGCCGTTCCCGCCGAACGGTTGACCAACACGTGGCGGCCCCTCCCCCCTCCGCCACTACACGACGGACGCGGGACCTGACCGCTGCGTAGTAAAGATTAAACGGACGGCCGTTTCGGACCCGCCTGCCCCCCCCAGAGGGCGACGAACTCGGATCCTCCGTTTGAAGGTGACACGTGGATCGGGATCTTGAAAGAAGACAACAGGTCAAACGTCACGGTCAACCAGGTCCGTTGGAACCCATAATGGTCAACGGCGGTGATGATCCTCAGAAAATGTCTTCTTATGATGGAAATAAACAGAATATTCCTCCAGGATGTTTCTACACAGCAGGGAAAAAAAAGGATAAAAAAAGAAGGCCAGGGTTATAAAAAAAATTCACCACATTCGATTCTCAGTCACAGCAGAAGCGACGCCTCTGAGGGTTTCCTGCCAATAAATCCTTCAGAATTATGACGCAATAACCACAAACTATTATATATATATATATATCTTATATATGCAGAAATATATTATCTGGAAAGAAAAAAGAGGAAGATGATAGAAATTTATTATATATACCGGGCGATGATCCTTGAGGCCGAGAGACAGCACCAACCGCTTGGAAGAACCAGAGCTACTGCAGACACAGAAGGCGGCATGAGAATGGTGACGTCATCATAGCCCGAGAGTCTTGGTATATCGTCTTCTTCTGGTTGGAAAGGACGGCAGGGAAGAACCCACGTGCCAGGTCACCACGCAGGTCTCGTGGGTATTCATTCATTCCAAGGGCGAGAAGGAAAGCCAGATACATCATCACCTTCGAGGGGGGGTGACAGGGAGGAGAGAGAGAGAGAGAGGAAACGCATACCTTATATGTTCAATCAGCTGGCGGGCACAAGCGAGTAGCAGTGGCTGGGGAGATAGCACAAATGGCCGATTATAATCTCTTCCCATATTGTTCACAAGGTTGAAGATGTGACTGTTGATTTGATATCAACAACTTACCTCATCTCGCTTACCGAAGATCACAGAGACACTGAATGTGGGTTCTGTAGATACACTTTCCTCCTTCCTGACCCAGAAATATGGATTTATAATTTTCATTAATACTCCACATAAGACACGATAATAAAGTTGCAATCATATGAACAGAGAAATAAAATGGTAAAATTGAGGTTCCCATCTTCTGGGATAACTGCAACATTTCGTACTTAATAAGAACAGTGAATAGGCAATTAGCCCTGACAGAAGAAGCGACTACATAGCATGACGGAAACAGAACAAGAGCACTATACAAGGTTTATAAAAATCCTCCACAATCCTGTTGACTTATATACCCACGGTCGTCTGAACAATGGGCATCATCCCATTATTGTAAACCTAGGAGTTTCCTCCAGCTTTCCATCAATGGAAAATACCCATTTGCATCGATTGACAGAAATCAACTCCAAGACAGTAGTAGTTCCAGGAAATCACACTTCAATTGAGCTGATTTGCGGAACAGTTTTAGAATCATATTGTTCCCAAATTGGGCATTTCCCCAATTCTCATGATGAAGCAGGGCACACGTATTTTGGGTGTGATTCTTCATCACGTGCTGATGAGGATGGCTTAATGGGGTGGGTGAGAATGTCGAAAAATTGCGAGCTAGTGGAAGGCAAAATAGGCTCAATTGAACTTAGGCCATAAAGAGCCTCGGGATATTGAGAGGATCCCACCACATGGAAGAAAAGTTGAGGGCCGGCCTCCTAACCATTCTCAGGAACGAGAGCCGGCCAGTCTTCACCACCTGGTCATATATCCCTTCTCCATCTTGGCATGTTATCTCTTCCCTGCATTCTGGGATTCCTTTTCAGTGTTTGCAGTGATTTATTTCCCAATGGATAGACCACAGAGAATAAGAACCATTTAATATAATTTTTCAAGGGCAAGAGGAAAAGAAGATATCCAGAGCAGCATCAACTCAAATATAATACTAAATTTGGAACACGGAAGTGCAAGAGGCAACGTCACATATTAATCCCACAAGAAAAGTCGCAAGGATGAGCATGTACCTGGCATGCAGTATGGTTCCCATGCTTCCGATTTGAGTCACAATAACCTGAAGAAGCATTCACTCATAAGAATCTATTTGAGATTTCTAATTTGAGTCAATATAGCCTGAATGAGTATTCACTATGGGAATATATTTACATTTTCCACTTTGAGTGACGATAACCTGAGGAAGTACTCACGTATAAGAACCTGTTTAAGTTTTCAAATGAAGATAAATACGGGAAAATATCCTCACCATAAAGTGATTCTCATAGCTGCAGATAACAATGTCTGTTTTATTCCCCTGTAGAACGTAAGATAAAGCAATCTTTGAATCCCATAATTTAAGAATAAACTTCAATAACATACTTCTAATTATGAAGCTTTACAACCAATAGATATTCTGAAGAAGAAAAAGGGGATGAGCATAACAGGAAGCTTTACAACCAAGTAGCTGCTTCTAATTCAATTGTAATTGGCATGACAGAAAAACTTACACCATCCATGGATGCATTATTTTATGAGAAAGAACCATCTGATTAATTGAAATAGATGGAAGAAATTCATTAAAAACTAAGAGATCAATAGTGGATGAGCCAAGACCGATAACCTGCAGGCATATATTAGCTATCAACACCCAATCTGACGCTAGATTTTCTGAATAGCACTAATGATAGGGTCCCATAAGTTAGACAATAACAGAGTGCTCAATTTTTTGTCTTTTAGTATTTCATTCAAATTTATAATTTATTCAGTAATTCAGCATTCCTTAGCACCATAATTTTTCAACATAAGATGTCTCAGTTAGAAATTGTATTTTTTTCCTAATTGGGAGACAAAGTCAAAGCGCTTGATCCCTTCCCCCATACTTTGAGATGCTCCTCCCCACCGATCAAGCAGAAAAGACTGATTTGGTTTGGGTTACGGTGGAAAGTCTATGACCGTATTTATTGGTCAACGGTGTTGGAATCCTCTCTCAGGTTCACCTCCCGGGTATGGAGTGGGCATATAAGTGGGTCTATTACATCTGTGTCCGTCTGCCCCTTTGCCGACGAGCTCGAAGCCGGAGTGCTAATCCCACCTCTAAAGTAGCCCATCTGATTATGCAACGGGGAGCAGGAGTCAAACCCAATTCTCCCAGATAAATAGTTACCCTGGGATATTAATTCTCTGCCCTCCAACTCGATTTCTTTCTAACATATAATTATTTTATGGTCTTTTATTCTCACTGGTGAATCGTAAATTTTTATTTTACTTAAGAGAAATGTGCCACAACCAGCATCTAATACACAATATTCTTCATATCTTCTAATCGAATTATTTTCAGTAAAAATATCATATGACGTCAATAAGAATTCAAAACATTATTATAATTGACCTAAAGTATAAGGGTATAAATCCTTAGGTTCATTTTCATCGGCCTGTACCCCGTCTAACAGTAAATTTTAAAATTGAGAAATATTTTGTTAAGACATCTTTATTAACACAAAAAATAATGCATGTTCTGTACCTTCACATCTACCGAAACTTTTTTGTGAGGCACAGGAAACCTGTGTGTTTGAGAAGGATTCGTGTTCACCTCCATTAATTCACAAGAGCGCAACAGATTTACACCCTGAAAAGAGGAGAAACAGAAAATTTTACATCCAAGTTTTATATCAGACGAAAAATATATATAAAAAAAGTGGACAGCAACCCATCAAGTCAGTGTACTGGAGGACCAATTCACCAATTCCCATTATTAAGCAAAAAGAAGCGAAAAACAAATGCCTGAAGGGTATCCATTAACAGAATGAAGAAGGGCAACTGTCGTGGAAATCAGACTCACTAATTCAACTGAACACGAAATTTAAATAGAAAGAAGGGACTTCTCGGTGATAATGATGATTCGATAGAAGGCATGTAACTTCAAAAATCTATGGCTAATAATGAAACCTACTCCTAGCAGGTTAACCTAACATAAGATTAGGAGCGTAAAGGAAAACGAAGAGGGAAAGCATTCTATCTTCCGACTTATTATCCAAGATTGAGTGTATCCGATAATCTTTGGCCTTTTTTCACCGAATCATTTGAGGTACGCCAATTGGGTCATGTTGCATCGTACGCAATAATGATAAGATCAGGCTACGCATTGCTCCACGACGAAGCGGAGTGAACGAAAAATGTACCCACCATGAATAAACCAAAATAGTTCAAGCTTAACATTTTAAAAAAAGGTCAAATAAGAGCTTGAACAGACGGCAAAAAAAACAAGCAAAATACACTGGGCACTGCTTCAAGTGGCTGCTGTGGGAAGAACGTAAATAACCGTTGGTGCACCGTCAAAAAGTTGGACGATCAACAGCCATATAAATAACGGTTAAGCACCGTCGAAACGATCGAAACCATACGGTTAAGCCTACGTCAGGCGCTCCTGATTCCGAGTTCCTATCGTCAGATTCCCCAGCGGGCCTCACCGAGACTAGCCGCCCACCGCCCGCAGCTGCCTCTCGGGTTGTGGTTGTCAAATCGGGGGTTAGACGGAAAATCAAGATGAGAACCACTCCACACAGCGAGAGAGAAAGGGAGGGAGAGAGAGAGAGAGTACGGTATGGGGAGCCCGAGAGAGGCAAGGAATCAAAAAAGGATTCTCACTCTGGTCTGGGGAAGGTACTACCAGAAAAAGCTGCCATCATACGCGAGTTGTATGTAATTCGGCGGCGCCAACGTACCGCTAAGCCCAACCGAGCCGGACCCCTAGAAGCCCAATTACGGCCCAGACGGGCTCGCAACTGCTGGACGTAACCCAGTAGAACAATTACCTTAAAGCCCCTCATCCCGTCATTATTTAATTAAATAGACCCTCGTCGTCTTTCAGAAGAGCAATTGGATCCTCGGTTTGTTAGGTGGCAGCTTCCCCACATGGACTCATCTAACTAGTCACGTGGAGGTTGGTGCCATGTATGGCGGGAGAAATCAGGAGCGGCATACGGACGAGAGCTTGGAGGACCCCCCGCCCGTACCAATATCGTGGACTGATGGTGGCTCCTCTTTGCCCACCAACACGTTCGGCGTGCATCCGCCGGAGGAGGAGGCGTATATTAATAGAAGGGTCATCCGAAACCAGGGAGTGCGGAGGTAGCAGTCACAGGAGAGAGCAGTTGATGGGGTTGGTTAGGTGCGCGGAGGAGGATGAAACGGCGGTGGAGGAGTTGCGGAGGATGATCCTGGGGGAGCTCGAGGACGACGATGGGGGGTTTGAGGGCGGCGGCGGCAGGATGTGGAAGGGAGAACGGAGGAGGGGGATTCCTGGCAAGAGGATGGAAGCCGGAGCGGCGGAGAGAGTGGAGCGGCGGATGCCGGTGTGCGTGACAAGCGGCGTCTCCTACATCGGCTGGGCGATCGCGGACCGCCTGATGCGCCGGGGGTACACGGTGCGGCTCGTCGTCGAGACAGGAGGTCAGTCAATGGCAGCCCCCATCTCTGTCACAGGTCCACGCCCAGGGTCTTGTTGCGTTTGCATTCCTGACTGATGTATTCCATAGCCGAATGGCGATCGTGATCTCCAGTTTTTTAAACCATCGATTGCAGTTCACTTTCAGCAGTGCTTCTAGTCCTGTGGAGCTGCGTTTGTTCCGCAGCAATTGCTCGCATGTGGTCTCAAATATGCGTTGGTGACAAGCTACTACTGTGTCATTTTGAAGTTTTGCAGACGATCTGGCGATGTTGGGGGAGACGGGCGCTTTCGAGGGGACGGAAGCGAGCAGGATCTTCCCCGTGGTGGTGAACATGATGGAGATGAGCAGCCTGTGTGAAGCGTTCGATGGCTGCGCCGGCGTATTCCACACCTCCGCTTTTCTGGATACCGCCGGGATCTCAGGCTACACGGTAAGTCTCCCGTGACACTCGTCTGGTCGCTGCTGTGCGGCAGAATCCTCTGACTGCGTCTCATCTTCGTACTGAATCCATCGACCGGAAGGTACTCAGTGGATTCATTTACAGATTGACTAGAGTTTAGGTGAATCTCGTTGGAGATCAAGCCCGTTCAACGACGAGCCGTGTTATCAATTCGCGCTTTGATTTCCGCCGATTTAACAATTTCAGCGAAGAGCTGTTCAATTTTAACCTTCCCCTTTCTCATCTATTAACGCAGTTTTTTTAACAATAAAAAAGATCAGAGGGCCCGCCATCGATCCATGTTTGGCTTGACATTCTGCCGGAGACGGTCAGATTCTATTGGATAAAGTTCGGTTGCTATAACAGCTCCGGAGGCTAATATCATCTCTTTGGTGTGTCGCAGAAACACATGGCTGTGAAAGAGGCCTCAGTGGCGGGGAAGGTAGTGGAAGCTTGCGTGCTGACGTCGTCCGTGCGGACATGCGTCTTCACGTCCTCTCTCCTGGCCTGCATCTGGCGACAGTACCCCGGCCTCGCGCGCCGATCTGTATCCACCCTCGTCGACGAGAGCTGCTGGAGCGACGAGAACCTCTGCACCGACAAGAAGGTAAACAAGACAGCGCCGTCTTCCCCTCCTGCCGTCTTTGATGATGGGACAAGCCGATCTTCCTCTTCTACGGCGTGCCTAGTGACATGAACTCTGCTTTGCGTGCAGCTATGGCTTGCTCTGGGTAAAACCATGGCTGAAAAGGCGGTCTGGCGTGCCGCGAGAGGTAAGGACCTGAAGCTAGCGACGCTCTGCCCCGCCCTCATTACCGGCCCGGGATTCTGCGCCAGGAACCCAACGTCCACCATCGCCTACCTCAAAGGTGATCCCCAACAACCAGAATGCGTACAATCTTCTTCTTGGGGCCTCTAATGGTTGTCTGACCTCTCCAACAGGGGGGCGTGAGATGTACGCGGAAGGACTGCTGGCCACGACGGACGTGTCCCGGGTAGCCGAGGCGCATGTGCGCGTCTACGAGGCCATGGGTGGCTCAGCAGCCGGCAGATACATCTGCTTCGATCACATCGTGCGCAGCGACCGCGATGCCGCGGAACTCTGCCGAGGGGCCGGCCTCGCCGAACACTTGTCCATCATCGAAGGCGGCAGCGACGTCGCGCCCCATTTCCAGCTGTCGAACGACAAGCTCCGCCGATTGCTGTCAAGTAGGCACTGCTTCGTCTCGGACCTGATCCGCTGAAGCCCATCGAAGCAGGGGCACTGCTCCAACAACCCCCACTCCATCCACTCCAACAACCGGAATAAGAGAGATGGCATCTTGAGAGGTCGAGGATGATGCTCCTGCTCCTGTTCGTCTAACCGTTGACTCAACCCCACCCCCCCCCACCCCCCCCCACGCCATCGACTTGCCAGGGCTCCTTCACATCACGGGGTAAGATCGCTATTTCATTGGAAGAGTAGTTAACTTTGTCGATTTCAATCCATAAAGCTCATAGACGGAGGCCTACTCGTCCATCTCGCTCTGCGAAGGATTACGCTCTGCCGTACTTACTCTCCAGGTACCCTGTCCTTGGTCTACGGAAGCAAACGAGGTGTAGAGTATGTATCCAGAGCCAACCCCCGCAGTGCCGACGCTTCCTTCAATTCTGTACCACGAGATGATTGGTCGATAAATTGATTGTTTGGCTGATGAAGGGACCCCTGCAAGTCGGATAAGATGTGTAATATATACCGCAGCTCCGCTGAAGTTACACGTCCAGTGCTGGGCCAGCGGATTCGAACCGGCAGACGCAGTCATAGATATTGCCTTGGACAAGCTTCTCGGCCAGCCGTTGGTTCTTCACCATCGCGAGCTGACGAAGAAAGTGGGATGAGAAAAGCGAACAGCCACGAAAACCCGCGAGGTGAACGGGGAGGTGACTCGAATGCTGAAACTATTGGCATCTTGCTCTTCTATGCGCAACCGAGGATCGATGATGGCTCACCTTGAGCGCGTCACACTTGAATTGGGCATTGAAGTTCGTATGGAGAGTTCTACCCATTCCTTCTAAAATAACCTGCGGTGAGAAGAACCGTTAAAAATAAAAATAAAAACCACAGTGCGACGTGCGGAACGAAACGCGGCGCCGTCTCTCGTACCAGGTCGGCATCTTTCGCAACCTCGGCGAGCTCCAAGCTGACCTGCCGGAGGTCAATGCATGGACTTCCGCAACCGTTCTCCACAACCATCAGAGGAACGGAGGCGGGATTTCTCTTCGATCCGTCTTTGGTATTAGCCATTGCGTCGAGGAGGAGCCCTCCAGCTTCAGCAGCTCTACGGAGTACGTCGCAGTTCTGCGGATCAAGGGACTCGTCATGATTACCGTTGACCTCGAGAGGATGAGAGAGGCCCGACTTAGATCTGTCTCGAAAAACTCGTGTGACGTGGGTCAAACCTTCGCAGCCTCGGCCACAATTTCAGGGAGTTCGTTCGCAGTGACGTCATTCAACGCCGGGAATGAATTGCCGACGAGAACAACCTGCGCAGGAAACCCAGATCAATATGCGCGCAAAACTTGGAAAACTGTTGACATTATTGGGAAGTCCAATTCAGACCAATGGGCAAGGAGTGGGGTTAGTAGATCTTTATTCCTAATATTCACCTCGGTTCCCCGCCTGAGAAGCTCCCGTGCAAGCGGAAGCATCCCGAGGACGACATCAGCGCCCGAGTTGTCAACGAAGAGCAGCGCTCTTTTGTAAGGTTGAATCTTCTGATCTCCGGATGTGATCATCCTTTTCTTGAACAAGTCAAAGTCGTCTACCTATTGAGGCGCAATATTTAAGGAGGAAAGATGAGCAGATAGCAGTATATACAAGAAAAACTGTTCCATCACAAGCTGTACTTGCCCGCCAAGGACGATGCATCTTCTTACGGCTCATGCGGTAAATTTCAATGATGGTTCCTTTGTGGTAGAGCTCCACACATGCACGGGACCCCCAATCAAAGATATTTGCGGCAAGAACGCCCTCAACAAGAGCAAGTAATCTCTCCTCCTACACGCGATTTTCGTCACCATAAGAGGAAAATCTCCATGACACCAAAATATTAGATGTAGAATTAAGCCTTACGAATATACACCTCATTCATTCGATCGAGCTCCATCAGAAGATCATGTAAGACAGCGAGGGATGCTTCATTTTCCCTGCGACATGGAGAATGTTTTGGCATCACTCATATGCTGTGGACGCCGATACAGGGACCAAAATGATATTCCCCAAAGTAGCATAAAAGGACCGAAGCTTTACATAATCTTTCCTACTCCGTCTAGTGACATTAACTAATAGAACATTTACAGAAGCCAATTTCAGAGAGCCTGAGACAACGTGAAGCATCAAGCATTTCATGATTCATCAACTCTGGAGTGATTAATGCATCCAAAGTGGCAGTGAAAGTGATCACGTGCACAAGTAAAATATTTTCTACATCATTTATAAGCCAATGTCGACCACAAGGCGTAGAGTCCACGCTAATGACAACAGCATATTCATATGGATGCTATTATTCTGTACTCACAGGAAGCACTGGCAACAACTTCTTTCCATTGTTATCTTTTTTACACGGTTTCACCGTCGGATTCTAAGTTCAACACTCATTCCCGTTTCTCCTCGGCTAAAATCCTAGTAGTAGTATTATTGAAACTTGTAGCCTGTTCTGTGGCTGCTTTCCATCGGCCATCTGTTATCCATCCATTTCACTTATTCTCTTCCCCATATATCCATACCACCAGCAATATTCATTACATATATGTGTGTATATATAGGGACATATATTAGACGAAATAAGGTTGACATCTATATGAATGCAGGCACAACCACAAAATAAGGGATTACTTTTGCATATATAATTATTGAAAAAAAAAGAAGACATCTGCAGTAACTATTTCACCAATCACTAAATAGTAAGGGTGTCTTGGAAAAGTACATAAAAGGAAGCAAAAAGAAGCAGGTATAGAATAACTAATTATAAAAGGGAAATTTACAAATTCACCTTTTTTTTATGCTAATATAAGCATCCTTAAACTGAAATTCTCTCAAGCATTCCTCCCTCAACTCCAACAGATTAGCTAGACCCAACTTTCCATAAGCTGCGGGCTCTTCCATCAACCTATGAAAGAATTGTTGAAAACCCATGATTGAATCTAATACCCAAACAAGCTCACAGATGAAGCATGTCTACATAGAAAGACATCACAGAAAAGGAGAAATGGTAGGTGATTTTCACAGAGAAAGTAAACTTTATAGAGAAAGTAATTCCAATTACCGGCCTATTTTTACATCTCGTTTTCTGTAGGGCATATCTTGTGCCAAGATCGCTGGTGTACTCTATTCGAAACAAGTGAACCTCCATAAAAGGCTGCTGCCTCTCTATAAAACAATTAATCTGTTGTGAAAGCTGTTCTAACATAATTCAGACTCCGGGGGATATGATACAACATGGACGTCATTCATTGAATGAGGATCAGTCACACTTAATAGAAAAGTTGCTCGCTGATATTAAAAAATGAACCTAAAGCGCATGTACTTACAGACTTATTTTTTATTATAATATGCATCAGGTTATAGCAGGGCTATGCGGGAAAGAGACATGAGCGAAATTCTGGAATACTAATTCTTCATGCTCATGTAAGGTAGACCACATTCAACTGGCACTCCAGAGTTCAGTACCTTGCCAAATGAGCAGAAAAAGCACGTGCAAATGCATCTCCCCTTCTTTTAGCATCTTCTGTTCTACCTTCACTTGCTACAGCCTGCAGGAAAAATTTAAACACGTTAAGAGCAGCAGTAATATTGGAAACGGACCTTATCATGTCTTCGCCATAAAGTAAAAATGTTGATCCAAAGAATACTGCTACCAATATTCCTCAGAAAAAGGGTTAAAAGCCAGAATAAAATCTGAAACTCAATTAAGCTATAAAAATCAACATCTTCAGCAAGGTTCATAAACCCAAAGACATTAAGAGTACGAGAAATCTTCAACAAGAGAGATAAATAGATATTACCTTATCAACAAGGTCGGGTAGATGATCTGATAGCACAGTGAACCAATACCTGCACCATGATGTGGTGCATGAACAGGTTAATAAAAGATAAGACACAGTATGCACAAAGTAAATAGAAGAAACGCCCATCCAGATAATGTCTAAATTATCTACAAAGAATTCTCTATTTCCTTCTTTTCGTCTGTGCGAAATACGTCCACTGAATTAAAAACAGCACAAGAAACTCAAAGCTTTCACAAGAGTTAGTGAAACCCTGTGGAACACGAATGTTGATGTCCCCGTCTTTCGTGAAAAAATAATGTCAGTTCATTCAGTAAAAATCATGACCCTTGGCAGACACTAAGATAGTCAGAATAAAAACTTGGGAAATTCATTATTAAGTGTCTAATTAACTATCAGGAATGATCTATTGGAAAACCCCAAAGCTCAGAGCCACGTTTTAATATTTGAATTATATTTATCCCGGAAGATTGGCTCTAAAACGAAGCCTCAATAGAATTACGCCAAAACAGCAATTTGTTTGGACTCGATCACAAGACAACTCATGCCATTCGCACAAACTAAAATTTCCCGGTTGTCTGTCTTAGGGATATTATTATCGTTCTTGTCTTTTATTTCTACAGAAGCAGTGATATATCTAGATATCTCCTTTGTCTTCATGTGTCAGGTCAGATATAAACAAAATGGAGGTTGTACAGTTCTTCCAGAAAAAAAATTAACAAAATTAACAGAAAAATTAAACTTACTCAAGTTCACCGGGTTCAGATAGATCAATAGTATTTGGTTCATACCTGCAGTTAAGAAGGACATCAAGCAGCATAATTAGAAAACTGGTGCTGACATATTACGTTGTTTTGGTACCAGAATGGGTCCAAGCTTAATGATTTTACCATAATTTAAATAATTTATAAAAACGAAAGAAGAGAATAAATGTTAATTACGTCTTTGGATCGGCCAACAGCGGGAAAACTTCAAGGGTGGGATCAAGATGTAGCACACCAACATTTAAGGCAGCACTAGCATCTGATCGTAGAGCTTCCCCTCTGGAAGACGGCCGTTCAAAACCTCCCACACCAGTAGTTCCAGAAGGAGACATTGGAACAGGAGCCAAAATTTCGGTTCCCTTCTGGACAAACTTCTCCATCCATGATATCTACAAAGAACGTCACATTTATCAGAGTTATCAAAAATGTGTTTGCACATGAAAACCCGACAAGATGATGCTCAAAACACATTATCATGCCTTCTCATTAAGGTCCTGGAGAGGAGGACCATGAATTTTGCCTCCAACGTAGGGAGCACCCATGGGAAATCGTTCGACCAATTGATGAACCATCAAGTCGTCAAAACCGTGCATCTGATAACTCATAAATGCACCTAAAACTCCAAGAAAGCCTTCATGTCGCAAAAACATGGCTTGTGCCTGTCCTTTTGACCTGGAGAGAAACAAAATGGAATCGTAGTTAAGAAGAAAAGATTTTAGAAGAAAAGAATGGTAAAAGAAACCATGGATATCTATGTAGCTGTCATAACGACTAAGAAAGAACAAATTATCTGTAAATTAGCTCAAAATTAATCTAATATCTCAATTAATCAAAGAAACGTTCTTAATGATTACCAGAATTGTATTGCAAAGGAGATTGTGTCCATTGTGTATGCATGACCACGAATAAAGAATCCACCAAAAAATATCTTTTTGAGCCCATACCGAAGTGCATTTAAATATGAGATCTGCAATAGCGTAGAGAAGTTGATTTCCACAAATCAATGCTGTTCACTCTTTCAGGTCATCTAATCCATGATAAATACACAAGAAATATTTGCAAGTGGGAATATGCGATAACAAGATCCTTTTAAAGATAACAGATCATAGAAGCCTAAACATAAAAAAATAATATACGACTATGTAATCACAAAATCACTTCTGGTATGAGATTGACCACTAGTCTCCATGGAAGTGTTATCTATCCAAAAAAATGTATATATAGTTAGATGAACAAGTATCAAATGTTGAGATAAAGAAGTTCTCATGCTTCAACAAAAATTAGCAACATGCTCATTGATGTGCATCTCTAATGCTAAGAAACTAATCCCGGTCATGTTGCCTTCAGTATGTATAGATGGACACAGGAAAGAGCAATTTCAGGGAATGTCATGGCATGCAGAAAAATATGAAAGTCATTTACTAAAACATACTTGGCCAATATTATAAGAAATCATTCTCAACAAAGATAGTGAAATATCTTCAGGCCGGTAATCTGAGAGCTCTTTGTTTCCTGATATTGTCTTTCCGAAACTAGATGCAATAGTCGATGCAGAAAGACCAATCTGAAACCGTTAAAAAGTCAGATTACTGTGAAAGAAAACAAGTCATGTTAATATGACAAAGATGAAACAGATATCAATGTGATCTTCTAGATCAAGATGACTTGTAGATCAAAAATTTAATAGCGAGCGTATCAATGTGATCTTCACAGGATAAGTTTTTCTTCATCAATCTAGGAAAAGAAACAATTAGATATGAGCAATATTCAATGTCAGAAAACAATCATGAAACTACAACAATGGAAATAATTTTCCTTTCGATTAGTTAGTTGTCACAAGACAAATTTATTTCCGTCACCAGTCCAAATTTTATTTCTATGTTTAATTTTGTATTGAAACCTCATTATAAGTGGGTAAACCTGCCCGACCTGATGACTTCATATAATTAATGATTTAGTTTGAAATGCAAGGCATAGATAGCATATTTTAAAGAAAAAATAACCCCGCACATTCAGGCAACTGAGTTTTTCTATTAAAATACACCAAAATAAAGTATCAGGCGACTGGAATTCAGACTGTATTGTGTAAGAGATGATAGTATCTTCCTACGCAGTATTGTCCCTATTTTATATTACATATTTTTTACCCTTCATTAATCTCGTGAAATTATGTCTGTACCTAGTAATACCACAAGAGAGGCAGCTATTTAGTTTCCATTATTTTAAATATTCATAACATTGTCTTTCAACTTAGCCTTCCTACTCTTGCTTCTGATCCACTAGATTGGACCACAAGTGACAAGTTCAATTGCTCTCCACGTCAGCAATATTTGCTTCTTTCACCATCATCATCATAGTTTCCATGCTTCTCATCAGAGACATTGTTCTCCTGAGCCTTCTTCATCCCACTTCCTTATAGAGAGGTACATGTCCTCATCAATCTTGTTGTTGTCATCTGTCTTGCAAGCTGCCATCACCTAGTCATCTTTCCGTCATTCCACCCATTTCGCAACAACAACATCAATCATTGCTAACCTTATCGGTATCCACTTGCCAACTATGGCTTCCATGCAATACCACTCTATTGGACACAGAACAGTGAAGTAGACACTTTCAACACCCATTTGCAAGATTCACTTGTCAAGTCAACAAGATATAGGCATGGATATTAGATCCACTAATCGTCTCCTACGTATCAATATTCATACGAATACACACCTTCTGCCCTCTGCGATCACTTACCCTCACGGTTGTGGCTGCCTTTTTACTATTAATTAATGGCATCGTTAGTCATCTTTTCAAAGTTCATCTTCATTAACTTGTAAATATGCTATCCTTAAGTGTAGCTCGGAGTGTCATGGGCATTGTAGCTATGATGCAGCAGAATATCGTCTTTGCATTTATCAATGTGTAAACTTCCTTGAAGCCCCCCCCCTAATTACATCTTTGTTTCTTCCTCTATTTTCTCGATCTTTCAACTCCACCAATCATTTCGAGATCTCCTCTCAAAGAATTTCTTCTTGCTCATGCCCCCCCCCACCCTTTAAGACCTCATTGCCTTCATTGGCCCTCCCATGTCCATGTCTACACTAGCTATCTTCATGATCTTTCAAAAAGTTCTATTCTACAAAAGATGCGGATAGCTTGGCAGGATCATCTCTGCATGATCCTACTCTACCTCTCAGGAATCCTCCATGGCATAAAACCCCTATAAAACCGACATCTTCCTGATTAGTTTGGTCCCATTTAGGCTGATTCTTCCTTTCTATAATTCTCTTACCTTTCAATATTCCTTCACACCGATCAGGACTCTCAAAGTTGCCAGCATACAGTTTAGTTTCCTGAGTTAGCCACATGTGATTCATGCTCTTCAGTGAACTCGCACTCAAGACCTTATTCCACTTCTTTTTAACATTATCCTTATCACCTGCAAGTGAATTTACAAGATTGAGTGCTGAGTGCAATAAGGATTAACCCCGGGCATGACATTCCACAAAAGAATATGACTGGTTATGAGGACTCTTTTACTCTGGTAGCCGAAGTGGCCATTGCGTGTGCCTTAATTGTTGTTGCGGCTATTCGTTGATTGTCTCTCTCTATAAAATGTCCTGATTTATAGTGACCTTTCACTTTGTAATTCGATGCCATCACTTTCTGTATTACAGAGCTATAAACTCAAACCCCAAGACTTGTTTTCATTATTCCATGATTGTTTTATCATCATGTTTATGAATGAGTCGAGAACTATGAAATTTTCGTGCATGTCTCTCACCATGAGCACGCCGTTCTTCTTCTATGTTGATGGGATATCGTCACTAGCAATGATATAATCCTCATCGCCTACCTCGAACAACATCTCAACCAACAATATGAGATGATGGCCTTGAACATTTATGTTACTATTGTAGTCTCGGAGTTACCAACTGTCTCAGCACATTCTATGGTCAACTTGCTGGCACTCGTGTAGTTTGACTATGTCTTGCCTAGACATCGTACATGCTATGTATATCTTAAGTTTGTTTGTCAAGGCCCCCTACCTGTCCATTTGCTCTCCTAATTCATCTTCTCTGGTATTTTCATGACAACATTCACCGACTCTAATTTATCTCCACACCCACACCTGTGAAGCTCCATGACTACGCCCGTGCTCAATTGGGCTAGTGATCTTACTGAGCATCACTCTTCATGTTTCCGCATAATTCTAAGCTCCTCTCAAAATTCTTGAAGAAGCAAGAAGCACACTCTGTCTCTTGCTCCAGCACAAAGGCTGGACAGCGTGATATGAATGATACATCTGTTGCAATGATCTGGCTCCATTTTCTTGTTAGAAATTTGGGAATGGCTTTTTCAGATCCTACTCCATTCTTTTCCAACAATCCCGTCAGCTAAGTGCTCTTCAAATCAACACCAATCCTACCTTTTGCATTAGTCAGTTGGATCACCCAAATCAAGTCAATCTAAGAGAAGAAAACAGTCCAGATAAAACAAAGCGCAAACAATGCTTTAAAATTTTCAGTGATACATATAAAATAACATAATTAGTACTGTCTTTTTTGCACCTTGGAGTAATTAAAGGTTATTGAAATGCACCTTAGAGTAATCCATACCACCGTATATATCACCAACAAGCATATCGATATTACTGTTGTCCCCTCTTTGACTCAACTCCAATAGCTCATCAAAACTGACATTAGAAAGGACACTGAGATTTCTGTAAAAATGTAAACAGGCATAAATTGAAGCTAAGAACGAACCTCTTGCACTGAGTTAAAAGCCTCCCCAAGCCCCAATAAGTGCCACCTCCAACATTTGTCCCACTAACCCGCTGAAACTTCCCCTCCCCATCCACCTGGTCCATAGTCCAAAATTATTTTAATCATAAATACATCGCACTGTTTAAAAGCATCATTAAAGTAAAAATAACAGAAGCAACCATATACCTTAATCATACTAACGCCGGACCCGATATTTACTAGAAGATATGGAAACAAATCATTTTGGTCAATCTGGACAAACTCCTTCTGGCCCTCCATGTGTGTAAAAGCTTCATGACGGATTGCCTATTTGAAACATCATTAAGAAATACAGCAGTTAGCACAAAAAACGTTACAGGCGTTAAAGCATCTGTGCTCACTTTCACTATAGAAACTTGGAGGGATTTATTTTCTAGATAACACACACATCTATTGGACCACAATAATTAGATATCTTGAGAACCAAATTTGAATCTATAGGTTAAAAATCAATTTAGGTCATAAATAGGATAAATACGCTAATCTGGATAAATAGAATTTTCTAAATATTCATCTGTTGATAACATTCACCCACCCAACCAACACATGCATGCAGATCCAGATGAGTTACTCCACAAGTCTGTTGGATATTTGTTTTCAGAGTCAGTAGTGACTAAGAGAAAATGAACTAAATACTGAGATGTGGAAACTGAAAGTTTCAAGAAAATGAGATTCTCAAAATTTTCAGATGCTTCCTCCCACTTTGGGGCGAAGCTATGAGAACTGCTTTACATTTAATGGTCTCAGGAGTTCCATTCCTCCAGTTTCACAATCTAGTTGTCATTATCTTCATTTATGAAACGAAGTATGCAATCCCTTTGTTCCATCATAAATGATAATAATTTGGAATCTCCTTAGTGCATGCTTAAAATGAATAATTAAATAATGATGGCAGATTTAGCGAGAGCCTAATTGCATTAAAAATAAAAAAATACACAAATAAATATCTAACTCTACTTAAAATTATTATTTTTGAGACAAATGCAAATTAATCTCTGAATTAATTGAACATGGCAAACATCATTTAAAAGTATTCACAAAGAGACAACAAATTAAACACAAATTCTTAAAAAATAACATGTCGATGTATGAGTCTCAAAATGCGGACTGCAATTATGAACTACACGCACACCTTAAGCAAGAAATTTGCTCCAGATACAAGGCAACCCATCTCATCTTCCTTCTCAAGACTAATTCCAAGGCGCTCTTTAAATACATCCGCAAATTTGTAAGCTCCTCCACCAGTAGCCTTCCCACAAAATCAAAGTAAAAATCTACATGTTAAGATTCTACAGATACAAGATGGCTTTCATGTCATAAGCTAAAAATAGAACTGTGCATCAAATTGAAGAATACACAAAATATTCAATGTATTATTGCGTCCTAATTTGAGAGCAAAAACTTCAACGCGGCTTTACACATGGATTCAACTTGTGCGACAACCTTTCCATGAAATATATAAATGTAGAGGTAGGAGGTCTAACAATGGTCTTGTTCAAGTGCAAGGGACAATGACAGTAGATCGATGTTCAACATTAAATCGGGAAGAGCTTCCCACGAAAGAAGCTTGAGCTATATGGAGGTTGGTCGTGATTCTTGTGAATGTCCGAAGCTCATTATCAATTTTGATACTATATGACACTCAAGATGCAGGCAAATCTTCTAGAAGGTTAACAGAAAATAATGGGCAAATACAGAGCCTCATGAATAAAATGCTCACCCAGAATTTTGCTATTGCATTAAACACCTGCACCATAAGGCAAACAACACTCCATAGATAGTTTCACTGTCATGTGCTTCAAATGAGAAACAGTTGAAATATCATACATAGACAGAACAGCCCATTTTATCTAAGATTATGATCAAATATGAGAGAATGCGAACACGTGTACAGACATCAATGCAGAAATTACCTTAATTATTATGTTATCATCATGACGAGTCCCAGAACGCCAAGATGGTGAATCTATACCTGCCCATAAAATGACATCAATAGTGATAGGGCATAACAACCTTGTGCAAAGGAAAGACAAACAAACTAATCATGTGAGTCCCTATAGAAAAAAATAACTGCATGTAAAGAAAGAAAGCCACTACTTAACGAGCTGTGGTTCATGTTTCTTTCTTCTTCTATTTTTCTTCTTGAAAATCATATGGCCTGCTTTAACACCTTAAGTGGCACAAATTCAGCTCGGCATACCATTAAATTTACTTTTTAGAATACCATAATTAGATGCTAAGCAGATCATTGCATTTTAAAAGAGAGACATGATTTGAATGAAAAAAGAACTGAATTTACCACCACGATGAAGCTGCTTTGAAGATATAAAATCAAGGCATTCGTTAAGCTTTCCTGTCTCAAACTTCACAAAGTGGAGTCGCCCACCAAGAACAGGAAATCTCGTCCTCAAACCATTCGAAAATCTCGGCCTCAGCTTCACAATACTTTTCCTCTTCTCGTCTGATGGGTGCTCCTCATGTCTTGAGAAGTAAACCAACTTAATCAGAGATCCTGTCAGCGAGAAAACTAAATAAATAAATATCTAAAAACAGAGTCTTAGGTTCTACTCATTAATAGATAATTGATAGCAAAATATCATGAATAACATGTCGATAAAAAGTGATGAACAAGGCACTCTACTTCATTAGTCAAACAGGCAAAGGAACTAGGTTCGAGAAAAACGAGCTGAAATCATAACCAAACAGAAACAGGCCAACCATAATTTTTCATACCAGGGCACCTTTAAACAGCACGGCACGACTTCATGATTGAAACAAAAACCACATGACATGCGGAAATATCCTGTCGATCATGTCCACATACCAAAAATGTGGGTGCCAGACCATTATTCTACATAACAAGAAATAAAAATATACAATGTTACCTCTTCAGGATTAAAACGCGAATCTGGCTAGTAGAGGCCTTGTAAAATAAACAGGCACTGCCAAGGCAAAGGTTACAGTTCGAGCAGTAAGACATGGCTCCAAGTCAAAACCCAGTTTATGGCTTCAGTCTTGACTATTGCTCCTGCATTCATAAATGTTCATCAATAGTGTTTTTAGGACACACTGATGGCACGTCATATGTGTCTCCTTTGATGACGTACAACATCTGTTTAATTTTTAGGTACCTCTCGAGGTCTTAGTGAACATCAGCTTTTGTTACATCCTCCAGAACTTCTCCCAGCCGACCATAGGTGGACTATTATGCTATGTTACCCATAAATATGGGGTTGCTATAGATCCACACAAAGTCGGCGTTTTGGTTTTTTCAATCATGGTGGAGATCGAAGTGTAGACATATGGTAAACTAAAATTAATTTCAGTAATATAAACCAAGCAAAAAGAACCACGTCATAAAACAAGCCCACTCAATCTAGTAGAAAACATCATCAGCTCTACACAGCAGGAAAAAAATGAATAGCTTATAATAGAAATGGAAAACACTATTAAGCGAAGTTGTGTCACAGATTCAAGCGTTTAAATCATCATGGAACGGTAACCATTTGACGTTTTATCTGATGTTTCCCATTATTCCATTAATTTCTAAATCTCTTCTTTTCCCACCATGTTGCCTGTAAAACTAATGTCACCACTATCTACCATCCTTCGGTGGAGATGCAGTCCAGCAACAGATCACCAGTTAGAAGACGCCTCCTGTCCATGTTGATTCGATTTTATACCAAAAACTCAGCTGTCCAGGGATCAAGAGTTTCAAGTTGTAAGGCACGATGTATGCATGATTTTCAGAAATATCTTATTAGTCTATCATATCTCTCCTGAACTGAAAAAGGCATCTCCCAGAGGCATCTCCCAGTTCCCAAGTAAGCAAAGAAGCTGATAAAACCTTTTTATCTTTATCTCAGGATGAAAGATATGGCATCTCAAGTCATCAAGGGCTGTAACTATTATGGATTCTTGACTGGGTCTGACCCTTCCAAGTGGAAATGGATTCAATGGTTCATCAGTAGTGATCTAGATGAGTATTGGTTGAGTCATCGTCCCGTGTTAAACCAGAACTCGTGGAAATCATATATCACTTTGAATTGTGCTGACTTGGAACTAAATCGAAATTTCTTGCAGACTGCCAGTGTCAAGTCGCATCACATGAAAAGGTGGCTGACTAATAGGAGGCGTTGAATTCTAAAAGAGAATGCAAAGTTTCATTTATTCCGTGTTCCTTTCTTTTTTCCTGCATGTTTGAAGTGGAGGAGAAGAATGTAGATTGCGTGTGGCTGGAGCGAGGAAAATAAGCCGTTTGAAGTTCGTGGAGGCACGAAATCCTCTTAACGACCACAATTTTCCTCCAGCTCCTCGATAACTTCAAGATACGAACTCGTTACAAGCCTACGCACTTCCACAAAACCTGCTCTTCAGAATTCCACAACCATAATGCAAAGGTTCGACCAAGAAACACCGAATCCGAGAACGTCACTGCGGCGGTGACCAAGCACAACACGACGGAGAAAGCATGTGAACACTAACCACCGATGTCGACGGCAAGGTGGGAGATGTCATCGGACTGGTTCGGCAGGAGGATGGTTGGGTTCCTCTCCTCGAGGTTCCCCTGGATCGCCGCCCCGCTGACGTCGAGCTGCGGCCGGGATCCAGACCGGTGTATCATCGCCGGCAACTTACCAGACGTCGTCGTCGGCGGCGGCGGCGGGAGTGCCAGCTCCTTCCCTCCCCCTTCCTTATTATAGCTTCCAACCTCCCCGCTGCCGCCTGTGGCCTCCTCTTCCGGTTTGGTGCTGCTGTTGACGTCGCCGCAAGAACGTCGTGGGGACGTCGGCGCCATTAAACTCGACAACCTCCCTCCCAATTTCTAACAACCCGGGAGCTGATCGCGTCGGTGACTGACTACTGAACGGGGTGGGCAGGCTTTAACAGCACTAAAATCTTCTAGATTCCATCGACGCGTACCCATACTAAAATTTATTTTCTTCACTATCCTTTTCATACCTCGAGAGGAGAGTACATTTGCCTGATTTTATTTCTGAAGAGGGAATTAAATTGGGTTATTTTTCATCCCTACGCATTTTAAAAGAAAAAAATTAAATATATTAAATAAAAATATTCGATTTATCGTACACTTTTTTCATTGTAGTGACTTATGTGAAAAAAAAGGCATTATTTAATAAAATGTTATTTAAACACATTTAAATTTACTTGAATTGACTAGTCTCCCTTTTAATTGCATGAACTTATATTCGCTACAATTTATTGCCCTTAGTGGGTCGTCTTTTAAAACAAAGGAAAGTTACTAAGAGAGACGTGAAAGAATCGTGTGGTCATTTTCCTATGAATCTGACAATAAACCTTTCAATTTTCAATCATTAACATTGATAAAAATAGCCCGAAAATTCTTAAATTAATGAATACGCCGAAAAACTTTGTGGGAAACTATTAAATTCTTAAGGTTTTTTGGGAGGTTTTATCATACGGGGTGTAATGATAATTCTCAATCTTAATGAGCTTTACTACAAGAAATATAAATGTGGTAGCCTTCATTCAAGGCGTGGTTATCCCGACCGTGAAGGCGACGAGGACGGCGACTTAAGTCGGCGGCGCAATTATCTTTGGTGATCGGACGGCGAGAAAGCGGGGATTATATGGGGATCCAACGGCTGGATATCTCGACACATTCTCTTTCCTCGTGCTATTAATGGGCCGGCAAGCCAGCTCGGCCCAGCCCGACTCTTTTAGACCTCTCTCTCTCTCTTATTCGCGCTCTTTCGGGTTCTGCGAATTGAATGCGTTGACTAACTTATGTAATTATTTTATTATTCCGTATTATAAAATAATCCAGATGTTTATACAAGTTCGATAAAATATTATCGTAGTAGTTTGCTCGTCCTGTGTTTCCTGATTTCAGTGAAATATAAATTAATGATGATTTTACGTGAGAATCCTTCTGCGGTACACGAGCCACTGGAATATTCGTTCAGATCATTTATGTTCTCTCTAACAGGCGGCGGGTACGATGCTGCCAGTGAGTTCTATGGCCACCGGCACGGCGGCGGGCCTAGCTGTGACGGGTTGCGCTTCCAGAGCGCCGCCCTCCCGCGTGAAGTCGAGCGACTCGTCGTTGTAGATCTTCCACCACTCGGCGACGAGCATCTGGACGTCCTCTCTGTCCATGTTCACCTCCTTCCCCGTGTACCTCCATGGCTTGGAACCCTAACAAGCGAGGAGAAAAGGAGGCGAGCATGAGCGGCTACCAGGGAAGAGGAAACGGGGAGTTTTGGGGGAGAGAGAGGGGGCTCACGGCGGCGCAGTAGTGAAAGATCTTGACTTCGTCGAAGTTGAAGTTATCCGGGTGGCGCCAGAGCATGGCGAGGATCAGGTTGTAGTCGAGGGGGAGCGGCTCGTAAATCTTCTCAAAGAAGATGTTCATGAAGTCCTGCCATGGCGAGAGGCGGATTCTTTAGCGTCTGCGTTTGTCCTCTCGAAGGAGAAAAAGGGGGCAAAGGGGAGACCCACCTGCTCTGCGAATGGAGTGACAGGGATGATGCGAAGGGCTTCGATGATGCTGCGGGAGGTGGCGCGGCTGGGCTCGAAGACGAACATGCCAGAGTTGAAGTAGCGGGACGGCGGGGGGCCGAGCTCCGGCGGCCAGCGGACCCTCTCCGGGCATTGCTGGCAGTAGCCGATGGCGTACTGCGGGGAGTAGCTCCACGACTTCTCGCAGAAGCAGTCCATCACTGCGTAGAAGCGGCCGTCGGGGGTGTCGAAGAGGTGGTCGACGTTGCTGAAGACCTGGATATCCGCGTCCAAGAAGACCATCTTGCTGAAGTCCTCGAACTGTCACCCAACAAAAAAGAAGAACAACAGAAAACAGGAGATCAACTTCACTCAAACCTGGTGCAAAAAAAATAGAACTTTGTCGAAAAAATTTAAACATTAGTATTGATCCAACCTCGAAGACACGCATCTTGGAGTAGTTGATCACGTAGTAGGCCATGGCGAACTGGACCTGGTTCTCGGGAGGGTAAATGGGTTCGACCTCGCGGACGATGCAGCCCTGCGAGAGAAGGAGCAGGCGGTGCTCCTGGGGGACATCGGGAAGCACGGCCACCACCAGCGGGTAGGCGCTCTTCACCCTTCGCAGGCCCTTGGCCAGCCCCACCACCCCCTTCACGTAGTCGCCCCCGCCGGCGAGGAAAGTCACGTACCCACGCTTCTTGGGCGCCGCCGTGAGCTTCCCGTCGCACGGTTCCGGCGCCATGGCCTACCCAGGTGTACCCTTTTCCTTGGAGCTCGGAAGGGAGTGACGGCTGGCTTTATATAGAGAGAGCCTGCGCCTCAGGGGGAGCAAAAGAGTGGTAAATGAAGCCCAGATGAAGCCTGCGAATTTGGGTTTCATGTCAGGCGCCGCCGGTCGTCGAGGGCCATGAGAAGGTCACCAGAAGAAGCCATGGAAGGAGGAGAAGTGTGCGAAGGAGGTTGGCACCTTATCAACAGTCTGGGGCTTCGGAGATTCTTCTCCTTCCAGGCTAAGAGATCTCCAGATGTCGTCGTCAACTGCAAAAATGTTTTCCCCACAGTAATCGTAAAAAAGTGCGCGTGTGGGGATACAAAGTGGCTTGTCGTAGAGCGAGAGAGAGAGAGAAGTGAAGATTTTCTCCACTTTACTTCGGAGTAACTGACTACAGCCGATGACTATCCTTTCAAAGGGTTTTGTCGGATGTGGAAAAGGATAGTAAATTTTTCACATGGCATTGGCGTCGGGCTCCCTGATTCCCATCATACACATCGCAAGAATCCATGTGTGTGTGTGTGTGTGTGTGTGTGTGTCTCTCTCTCTCTCTCTCTCTCTATTTCTCTCTCTTTCTCTCAGGTTAGCCTGTTCTACTCCGCGTATGCTCGATCATCATTTCAGTACAAAGGAGTACGCGGATCCCCGTTTTTTCAGAAAAGGCCAGAGGAAGGTTGGAGATTATCAGGGGCGTCGAAGTGGACACTGACTGGTGAAGGGGGAAATAGAGAGAGAGAGAGAGACGCAAATTAGAGCTTACTCCGGTGTACTACTGGTTGGGGGATGTGACCTGGTGGCGGGGCGGTTCAGTACAGTGGAGTACCCGGGGCGGAGAGGGTGGACCGAGGGGCACAGTACACTCCAGAAAGGATTCCAACGGCCCCTGGGGAGGCCACGTACCCCCCCCGGTCGTGTGGTGCCTATCGCTCTGTCCACAACCCGAGATAATCCTCTCATTCTCACTGCGGGCCTACGACGGCTTCATTTCCTGGGCCAGACTCTTTGGGCCCAGTGCTATATTTACAGACTTGCCACTCCACAAAGCTGTCAAGGGGAGAAGAAACACTGAATCCTACAAAGTTTCCCTGTCTCTCTCTCCTCTCTCTCTCTCTCTCTCTCGCTATATATATATACATATATTCCAATTTTGTAATTAAAGGGGAATAACAATGGCAGAAGACGTCTTTATTTTCGCAAAATGTGGGGGTACACTCGACCTTCTTACCCGTGATATGCAAATGAGTTCCTGCACATGAATACAAAGAATCATAAGAATCATCAGGAGGGAGGACCTAAACGAACGAGGGGTACCAGTCGAGACGAATTCGAGAGAAAGATGACCAAAAGAAGAAGAAAAAATTCCAAGAAAAGAAGTTAAACGGAAAACCCACAAGAAATTTGGCACGGTGCCAAAGCTGGAGAAGCTGGAGGGAGCTCAAGCGGACTTGGGCTTCTTCGGGCGCAGCTTCGTCACTCTGGAGTAGAGGAAGACGCCGGCGAGAGCGATGGCGGTTCCTGCGAGAGGACGACGGCGAAGTGGTGAGAGGGAGATCCTTTCAGATGCTAAGGATAGGAGGGAGGGGGCGGGGAGTACCGAGGGCGTTGACCCGGGAGACGGGGGTGCTGAAGAAGAGAACGGCGCTGACTATGACAACGACGCGCTTCACGCAGTTCGCCACGGAGTGGGTGACGGGGGACATGTACGCCAGAATCATGTAAGAAAGCTGCCAAATTTGGGAACAGAGAAACCAAAGCATGAGAGATGGAATGGATCGAATAACGTAGAATAAAACGAAAGATTCTGGTTGCTACAGGCAAGGACAGACTGGGCCGGGGCCTTCCAAGTGCAGCCCGATCCGACCCGGAGAATGTCTGAGGAAATGGGCCCTGGGGTGGTCTTAAAGGAAGCCCAAATCCATCCCAGATAACGCCAACATGGCCCAGTGTATGCGGAGAGAGAGAGAGAGAGAGAGAGAGAGAGAGAGAGAGAGAGAGAGAGAGAGAGAGAGAGAGAATATTCAGCTTTACGAAATGTGGTTACCTGCTGGTAGGCATGATAGTAGATGGCAGCCAGAAGGGATCTCACAAAAACCTCTTTGACGTCCAGACCCTGTGTTAATAGATGGATAGATAGATAGATAGATAGAGAGAGAGAGAACACAAATTAATACCTAAGATGTTATTTTTCATCGCTTGAAAAGGAAACCTTGAAACAATCTGTGATGGCTTTCTTACGGCAGACTCCAAAAAGGAAGGAGTAAACTTGATGCCTTCCATCAGCGGGGTCACAGGGACCATCAGCAGGAATGACATCACCGTTATTATTGAGAAGATAGTCATGTTATCCAGAGATTCCTGTTCAAGGAATTTTGATTAATCACTCAGGGAACAAAAAAATAAAATAATCTACCACAATTAGTGAATAAATAAATTAAAAAATAATCAACCAAAAATATTAAACAAATAAACAACTCAATTACATAGTTGTTGCATCCACAAAAAAACTATATCAGAGATATTGTAGAATATATAACTCAAAATTATAACAATGCTATTTTTTGTAGAGACTGCACAATAGTAAAACCACATATTCCACTTGAGAACTCTGCAAATCGTATGAGTAAAAAAAATCATACGCCAGTCTCAAACTGACAGAAGAATGATTGCATTTCAACAGTGGAACAGAAGTAATCCATTTGATGCTCTTAAGTTACTGTTAGAGCAACAAAGACAACCTTATTAGACTCTTGAGAGAGAGAGAGAGAGAGAGAGAGAGAGAGAGAGAGAGAGTGAGAGAGACCAGACCTTCTGATCCATCAGCTTCTTGCTGACAACATTACGACCCTGGTTGGTCAGATTGGAAGCCATAGCACTCCAGAAGCCAATCCTGTTCGGTGTTGAAAGAACAGAGCAATGTGAGCAAATTATAATCTGAACTCGTTGAAGGATAGTAGAATTTATAGGGGAAAAGATCAATATGTGGCTATGTTTCAACTGTATATGCCATACAGCAGACGACTTTACCAGTTAAACGAAGCTTCCGTCAGTGAAGCCAACACCACACCACCAACAACAGGTGCAAGAGACAGCACGACAGGGAGGGTTGGCGTCTGCAAATTTTGCACGTGATGTAGTCAATCAGATTAACCCCATTCAAATCTGTGTGATGAACAAGGTGAAAGTTTCATAATATCGTCTTGTGTCCTAACGAGAGGAAAAAATTAATGAATACTTCCCTGATGCTGATTAAGACCTCATGGTAAACCGAAAATATCTAAAAAATAGGAAGCTAATGCACTAGGAACATCTAATGCAGATACTAACCTCTCCAAGGAACACTGCTGAAAGGAATACGGAGAAAAATGGCTCCATAGCTTTAATAGTGTGCGTGAAAGAAACAGCAACTTTCCCAAGGCTCATGTTAGTAAACAGGTTTCCCAGTGTGTGCGCAATAGCCAGTGGTACCATCACCAGCAGCTGAAAATAGGACATAAAGAAATCCAAGGATGCAAAATTCAGGACACGAGTGCTGTGCAGACAAACTAATAAATAGGTGATGAATAAATCAAGAAGTAAGAACCTGTGATGAAGTAATTTTTGGCCTCTTTATTATATTAGTCGCCCAAGAAAAAAGAACAAATACAGTCCCCACAGCAAACTGGGCAGTTGTGATTGTTACGGGGTAAGGATAAACCTTTAGAACCTGCAGGCAAAAGTGTTGTCGTTTCCATTTTTTTAAGTTGGAGTCAAGGTTGTAAAATACAAGTGAGAAAAAATTAAAATTCATCATAGAAAAAGGACCGAATGATGAATACATGGGTGAAAGTACAATCATCAGAATTTGGATCGTAAGAGAAAATGAAGAACGTTAGATTAAAGTGATGCCCAGGAAGGCATGGAGTTGGTACCGTCAACATTCCAGAACTTTAGAACTTTAGGTTAACATCGACAGTTGATATTAGGACGCCAAGAAAACATTCACATCAAATCTTTAAGGATCCTTGATCCTAGTTGATACCAAATTCCAGATAGATGGGTTATAATATTGGTGACTGAACCACTGATATAAGGATGATAAATACCACGTTTACCATGTGAAAATACAGGAGTTAGAGGAGAGAATAACATGGCAAAACTTCATACACACGATTGTATTTGGTTCAGATCCATCTGTGCTGTGACTTCTGCATGATGGATTTATCACTAGGCCATTTATGTCTTCTGTCTCCTTATTGTTACATTTCTAGGTTTCTTCCTGAACTTTTATTGGAATGGAAGATTCATGCAGAAATGCGCATTAGTGGATATTGTCTCATTTCGTCATTTGGTGGAAGATCCTCTCTACATAGACTGAGCTAATGCTCCAATTAAACTTCCTGCAGTCGGAAGGAAATAAAAAACCTTGTCTTGCTTTTCGGATGGCAAATAAACACTGAAAATTCATTGTACACGAATTCTGAAACTTTCAGAGATTTGAAAACTGAATAAAATATGAAAAAATCATTTATGATAAGTAAAAGATAAAAAAAAATGTACAGTAAATTTTAAGTTAATTAATTTCATTTGTTGTCCTCTCAAAAAAATTGAAAACCCCAAACGGCCTCTCATTTCATCTAATAATAGTAATAATAATAGTTAAAATATGCTCCTTTTTTCCCAAAATTCAACTCTTTGTGGACTGAAGATAAAGCCTCAACCATTTTTTTCGTATCAAATGGCTAAAAAATGGCGTTGGAAACAGATGAGACATTTTAAATATTCAAATACATTTTTTTACAGGAATTTCTAACAGAAGCCTTTCTGAAAACTTTCTTAAAATGTATGTAACGCTGACTTCACGACATGCATAAATGGAAATATGATACTACTATCTCAGGTAATTTTTGTACTCTGAATGAGATATAAATGTCTACATGATGTTAAAATTCATCTCAGATACAGTTCGAATAATAAAAAGAATAAAGTAGATTTAAAGCATCTCAGATGAAGTACCTATTTTAACCATAATGTTTCAATTCCCATATAGCGAATCATATTTAACATATAAAGCATCTTAACTGAACGAGTTGAATAATAGATATGAATCTCTATTTGATTCGTCAAAAATCTACGATCTCACCTGCCTGCATATTTTGATGCTACTCGCACAAGAGGACTTAAAAAAGTATTCTTCTGCCCCGTACCTCCAGAAGTAATTATTACCTCTTGGCTTTTCTGGGCATGCTTTTAGGTAGAACGTGTGAATTCTATGAAGTCAACTAAATTTTAAGTCAAACCATACTCAGTTTGTCCCACTATAGCTTCAAGTGAACCTATTTGTTTCTAAATGGATTAGGATTTGAAAAGTTCCAAACCAAATCCCACTCATAACATGTCAGACGGAGTTGAGCAGATTGAGTAACAAGAGTTTGATTTGGTAAGGCGCTCAGGTGAACGAATCAGGCGATACAACTCAAAATTAATTTGCAACAAGTGAAGTGGGCTCATACCCTTGATTGCACAATTTAACTTTATACAATTCAGAAGAATTTTTTTGTAACACATAACAAGACAAAGCTCGCGGAAGTGTCGCCAAAAAGGTCCACATTCAAAACCGGAGCTGATAAAATGCGAGTACCTGCTTGTTGTAGATATTGAAATAGATGTTGAACAGATACCAGAGGGCAACAAGCACCCCAACATACAGCGTCTTCATAAGGCTTCCACCGGCAGACTTGGCATCCGCCGGTACCAAGTTGCTCTCTCCCGCGCTCTCCGGAATCGAAGTCGCCCTGACTTTGAATTCCTCGTTCCGGCTGTCGAAGGCGGGAGGTTGATCTCGCATCCAGTTTTTCGGGCCGGAGGAGGAAAAAGTTGGCGACAGGGCAGGTCTCCGATGGTCGTGGCCGGAGACGCCATCTATCGGGGTGAGTCGAGCTATCGTCCGCGCGAGACCAAATGCGACAGAACTGAACCTGTGGATTGGAATTCCGCACCGCCTCGAGTGAACTCGGCCGTCGAGGGCTGCCCTGGTCACCGGCGGAATGGTTAGCACTGCGCCCCGCATTCTCGTCTCTCGTCGTCGCAGTGGCGGCGAAAGCACGAGAGAAAGCGAGCGAACGAACTAGAGAGAGATAGAGTGACTTCCTCTGTGGGACCCACAAATCTCAATCGCATTGCTGTCCTGTTAACTTGTCCTCTGGTGTGATCTGAACCAGTGCTCCGCAGCCTGAGCGCACGACACCTCAGGTTTCCCTAAGCGTTCTGTACGGAACACGGAAGGACCGTATAACTCCGAATTCTCGCGTTGTCGCGGAATTTCTTGCCACGAGAAATTCAATATCACCCCCGTCCATTTAAAGACATCGAGATGGAGTAACAACTGTGAACGCGGTGAATATCTCACGAGAAACCGATTGGGCGGCGGCGGCGGCGGGGGTTTCAGGTACACTGCACCTGGACACTCCGATTCAAGTATGGCGCATACAGCAGCATCTTTTAGTTAAATTAACAAATAATATTATTCCAATCTTACGGCAACGACAACAACTGAACAGGCAACTTTATACAATTTTATGCAACAACAAAAAAATTATAGACGATGAATTACGTGGCGCCGTAATAGCCACAGACATTAAGAAAATTATAACATAAAGTCAACCGTGGGAAAAGGCAAAATTAGTAATAAACTCGATTTCACTATCCAAATGTCCATGCCGAATAAAAAAGGTACAACGCCTTTAAAATGATGGGAAATGCTCGTGCTTTAAAATATTGCTGGTAAATGACAAAAATATATTTTTTGTTCCGATAATTAGTCCGGATGGATTTAAAAATCGTATATGATTCGTCAACTCAAATCTGCACCAACTTTAGAGAGAGAAAGTCTAAGGTCTCTTATGCTAATTACTGATCGCATATTTGTCAACCCCTCTCTCCTTCCCTCATACATCAGTGTGATCGAGCTCTCTCTCTCTCTCCCTCTCTCCTCGCCCATGGTCATGCAGAAACCTTCAGCTCGTGTTATAATCCACAGAAACCCATTACCTCTGCGCCGTCGTCGGCAGAACCCTTCTTCTGCACATCATCAGCTCAGGTAAAACAAGAATACAAGTACAAAATGGAGAAACCAGACTAGCAGGAGCACCTGTGCAGATCCAGAAGACTGGGTAGGGCCGTCAAGACATGAAGACTGGTACACCGGCGGTCGTCGTCGTGCGGCAGAGGGGGCACACGTTGACAGACCCGCCGCAGTCCCTGCACAGGCAGAGGTGCCGGCACGGCAGCAGCAGCACGGATATCTCCCTGCTCCGGCAGGCCCGGCAAGCCATGGCCCCCGCTGCCGGCACGGCGTCGCCGCCGAGGGGCGCGGAGGGACCGTAAGAGGAGGCGGCGTCGTCGACCTCGCTGTCACCGCAGCCTTCCCTGCCCTGGCTGGCGCCCTGGGCGACGGCCTGCTTGAGGTTATTCTTCAGGACGCTGACCACGGACTCGTTGAAGCGAGCCCTGTAGTGCCAGGACTGGGCCTCCATGGAGACCTGTTTGATCCTCTCGTTGAGCTCCTTGTTTCGCCTGTTCATGCTCTCGATCTGCACCTCCTTCTCCCTCAGTTTTCTGCCCACCGCTTTCTCAACAGCGCCGAGGAAAAAGGTAACGTGCCTCTGCTTCATCTCTCTTATGCCTTTGGTGATTTGTTCTTCCTGTATATGAGCAAGTTTAATTTTCTTTTCAAGCAAATCGGAGCAAAGTATTTTCAGTACAAATATTTTTTTTCCAATTTTAAGTCTTTAGTCCACATTTGAAGTAAATATGCGGTGCCCAATAATACACGCGCCGTAAATAAATGAAAAATATACGGAAAAATGTGAAACATAATCTCACGATTGGTAACTTAAAAAAAAGAAAAGGAGATCACTAAAAAATATAAATACCTCTGAAAAACAACAGTCATTAACCTAAGATTGACGCAATCAAAACCCCATATGGAGAATCATGCCCGACCCGAATCCAAAGGCCAGTTTTTTTTTCAGCCTTATGACTCAAGATCAAAGCCCATAGCAAAAAAAAAAAGGAAAGCCCCGGTCTAGTTTTTTTCTCTTGGGCTGGATTCGGGCAGGGTTCGAAAGGGCAAGGCTTTGAACCCTTCTCTCCACGTGGAGGGACCATGGTACCCACGTGGCAGTTGACCACTCCAACCCCCAAAAGATGCCCGCTTTACAAGCTTGTCGATGGACTAGGAGGCCTCGGCAAGGCCTAATCCCGAATCAGAATGTTCACACATCCAATAACTGAGAAAACTTACTTAACATTCGATCGTACAAAAAACAAAATCTCGAATGGATGTTCTTACCCTCTCATCCAACTTAGACAGTATGATGCGTTCATCTAATAAAATCATAGGCCGCATTCAGATTATGCAGGAAATAACAATATGAAAAAAAGCAGGATAAGAGAATTACTCATGAAGAGAAGTTCAGCACCTGGATTCTCATGAACTGGTCGAACTCCTCCCTCTGACGCTCGATCTCATTCTTCAAGTTTTCACCAAGAAAGGTGACCATGGGTAACGAAGGGATGCTCCCACTCGCAGAGGTGACAGAGGAATTGTGCTCATCATCATCATAGGAGAGTCTAAGCCCTGTTGAAACAGGGTTTGGGCTTGGGATACTCGCTGGCCTGTCAGCTCCTACCCGAGAGATATTATTCAAGGAATTTTGTAGATTCTGCCGCCCCACAATATCTTCTCCATTCCTGCATCTTTTGCTTGGACTTCTCAGAGGAGTCTGTTCAGTCACGGTGTAGTTTGCTGGGCTAGGATCGATCCCACCAGCAACTGCTCAGAAGATTATAAAGAAGGATGAGTAACAGAAGGGTATGATACCAAATGGCTAGCTTATTACATTAAATCATCATATAAGATACGAGAAATTACACAATAATCAGTCGTTGGTCAGTAAGCATCCTTATATCCTACATCCTTAGATATAGTAGATCAATGCTGATGATCTCACTTAGGTAGGATAATTTTCGGATACAGTATATCCACAAAAAGTTGCAAATACGATGCACCTTAAAACATTATATTTTCTTTCAATAGATCCTGTTTAGCGGAAAGATGGATATTCCTGCTGATTACCAGACAATCACTCATTCAAAAATCACGTGTGGGACTAATAGTTTTCATTTCCCATAATCTCATGGAAAACCTTTTTGCTCTGCTTAGACCTATCTCTTTCTAGGGGTAAATATGACCCTAGAATATATTTCTTAATAGAGCGATGACTTGGTGCAGAAAAAATTAATTTTATTCAGAAATAGGATATTTTGGTGCTGAGAGGATATTGGAATATACTCTGAAATTGAAAATAAAGCCCACTAAGTTATGAGTGAAATAGTAGAATCTTATGGAATTTCACTAAAAAAAACAGAAAACGTGGGCCAGCGCACATCAAAGGAATAGAGCGTGTTATATTCACGATAGTCTTTAAAGTGCGCGAAACATGGAAATTTTCAATATATGTGAAAAATCTTCCTTTCTGTTAACTAATCACGTGGCAACATAAAAAGACGCAAAAACTAGTCCTTTGTTGGACTGTTTCCCGACAGGATGATTACCTCTTTCTAAAGCTTTTGTTTTCATCAACGAAACCAAGCATAGATAGTTGAATTCAAAGCAGCCCCCCCCCCCCCCGCAACAATCCAACTGGTTGATTGAAGAGTAAAAGCATGTGCTGAGATCATTTGAAAACATGCTTGATGTGGGAGGGCCTGCATTAGCAACTTTGACTATCCCATGAGCTTCTAAAATTCAAAGTTTCCAAACCCAGAAAGGGCGTTAAGGACAGCCAGAGACCCATGAGTAACTTGAGAACCATTCAACTCCAGTCCAAAGCTAGGTAGTCAACGGAATCCACCTGGCCCATAACAAGAATACCCGAGTCAACCCTGGCTTTTACGATGGGTGAGGGGAAATTCCTTCACTGAAAGGAAATAAAAAAGAGGCCGTGCTAATCTTCCCAGCTATTCCCAGCTATTCCATCAATCATAGACTAGCATAAAAAAAAGTCAACGGGCAGGAAGTTTTCAGACATTGCCCAAGTTGAGTTCTACTAAGATTGGTGCCATTCCTCACTAGAACAGGCAGGAAAGAAGCATTATTCGATGTCCAACCAAGGATTTTAACAAATAGGCAGAGTAATGCATCATGGAATAGAATCTTTTTTGAGGCTGAGTGATATTGTCAAGATCGGGCATGCCCAACCGCAATGCTGCAAACATGAAAAACAAAAAGTCATCATGAATTGAAGCTACTCACAATTTCCAAATAACTCCAGCTGTGTCGATGAATTTGAGTCATACTGAGACTGATTCTCCCTCATGAGAACAGGATACACAGGACTTCGGTTGTCACTGCTAAACATCTTCCTGATAATCCGAAAATTAGGCGTTAGTAATTCATAGTGGCTGATGTACATTCGAGACAAATGGAAAAAATAAGCAAAAGAACTCTTGGAACATAAGTCTTCTTGAGACAGACTAGCAACTGATTACTTGATCAAACGGCCACAAGTCGTATTACTGAAAGCAGAAGAACCTGCACAGGAGGATTCAAGATATCAAGAGTTAGTGATTTAATGTCTGGTATCCTAAGAAACAACGCCGACGCATACATATATATCATGATGGGTGTTAAAATAAGAGGTCAGAAGTCTAGCCCTTGTCAGGAGCAAAAAAAACGGAAGGCTCTGAAGTTTGTAGTCCATTCAGTCTATATGTTCAAATATGTAATATATATATGTTCCCACAGCCTGAATGTAAAAGGCTTAATCAATACATAATAGCCCATCAATCAACAGATGAAACAAAAACAAACGATAGTGGACTAGAGAAACTGGAGATACACAAGGACAATCGGGCAACGTACTTATTACTTCAACTTCAAAGAAAAAAATGAAACCGCTTTCATTTCCAATTTGAAGATTAATATTATCTCAAAGCTTGGGACGATCCTCGCACTATTTCAAGACCCAAACTTCAAAGGGAGCAGAGAATCATCCACACGGCCACCGTGGAACCAGCAATTAAGGAATATATAGCATTAGATAAGGACCGATTCAAACATAATCGAATCAAACTCTCCTGGAAACAAATTCCTAGCCATTCAACCCGATGAGAAGAGGGGGAAACCAAACGTCCAAGGAAACTGGACCCTAGATCCTCATCCAACCACCGTCGACCAAAATAGCACTGGGAAAAGAGAGCGAGAAACAGATGGAACTTGTGTCCGCAACATACAGAGAGACAAGAGGGTTCTCTTCTAGACGAGCCGATCCCATCGAACCCACACCGATCCTAATTCGGGGCCATAATCACCCAGAAAAATGAGCATTTTTGTGGGTTGGATTGCCCAGAGAAGCCTGCAGCCGTAAGGTGAACCTTTTTTTCCCCTCTTTAATTCCTCGCACGCCTCTTCTGGGCCCTTCCATGCCAGTTGTTGCTCGGCGTCGGTATCTTTTTCTTATTCAGTTCTAGTTTCGTTTTCGGCGGGGGATATGAAAGGACTTAAATACCCTCTAATCCCGTTCGTGGCTAATGGTGAGTTGGGGGCTAGAAGTGTCAACTACCTAACAAACCTTTTGTTTCTGCTCTTAACCGCAGCAGTGTTTAATTTTTCGTTCTTTAATCGTACGGTGAGAGTTTATGATATTAATTTTGGCTTTACGGGCGGCGCTCGTTTTGAATGGAGAAATGAAATCCATCACGCATCATCAATAAATTCGACCAGTAAAATCTTTCCATTTCTTTTTCAGTCATCAATATTTTTTTAATTTTTAATATATATATACATATATTCTAGATTATTACAGCATTTCTTAGAGAATCCTTGACAAGTATCTTTATAAAAAATAAAAAATAATAATCAAAGAGACAGCATAAATAGAAAAAAATGAAACCTACAATTCAGAAAAGAAAAACTACATAATAGATAATGCGGTAATCAAAGAGTGCATTGAGCAAGCTCCCCACTTTGGTTGAAGCACGTGTTTCTTCTACCAAATAGACAGCATAATAATCAAAAGTCTACTTCTTTTCTTCTTTAGGATCATACCCAAATGAAATGAGTACATTGAACAATGAGGGAGTCAAGCCCCCGAGTAACTTCACATTAATAAATTCAAGATACTTTGTGTAGAAAGAAATATGTAATCACATGATTACAATAATAACAAAAACTCGATTTTTGAATATCATTGAGAGCAAATAAAAGATAATCATCAAGTTATCAATAATTATGATGAGAATAATAATTTCACCAAAATACCTCTTATGTTCATCTCAATGACTTTGAGATGACTCACATATTGGAGAGTTGACAATTGACTCCTATCTTCTTTTATAAAGACTTCACTTATAATGTAAGAGAGATTAGAGACTAAGAAAGAGAAAAGAGAGTTGATATAGATATATAATGTAATCAAGAAAGAGAGTTGATAGGTGATGGCTTCAACCTCTCTCTTTTTTTACTCCCTCTCTCCTTACATGACCTCTGAATAAGTCTAAAGAGATGAGTTGACAATTATTTCTTTCTCCCTGCACAACCTTTGAACATGTCAGACAAGATGAAGTGACAATCGTGTCACTACCCCTCACTCGCACACCTCTTGAGTGA